GACTCTTTCCACTTGAAGCGTAATTCGCGCGCGCCGCCGGCCCCGCGCACAGCCGGCTTACTCCACTTTCCACGTCCGACCACGATCATCTGTATGAAACGAGAGAACCGTTCGAGCCATCTCCGTGTGCATTGCGAGCTTCCTCTCGCGCGCCAAATTGTGGAGAGCCGCGAAGTGAAGAACGCAAATTGACGCGCATCGTCTCTTGCGAAAACACGAGATCTTTGTTATCGCCGACAGCCCGCATGTACGCCGGAGTATATAGCTACTATTTTCGTTCGCAGCCTAGATATCCCGCCGGGTATACAAAGCTTTAGAGACTTCTGCTCGTCGGATATCAGCTCGTTAACGACGAAAGAGAAAGAGAGAGAGAAAGATCGCCGATCGAACACCCGACGGGAGGGGAGGAACCGATGAACTTACGGCTCCTAATTCGCGCGCTTCCGGGTCAGGAAGCTTCCTTTTCGAGAAGAATGAGAAATCGAATGGGAATTCAAATTGCGTCGGGAAATTCCTACGGAGAGTTTCCCCGGGAAACTTGTTCAATATTGCTCGCGAATGTCAAAGGTAACGTGACAGACGGTGACCCGCTTCAAATGCGAACTCGGCTCGAATATCCTGTCCCAGCGCGCGCGGCAGTAATCGTCGACCGGCTGAAATTGCTGGCGACCTATTGCGCAAATACCCGAGACTTTGTCGGGGCCACACTGTTGAAGTTCGGCTGAATAAAGAAGTATTCGACCTTCTTTACACTCGTCAAATAATTCATTTCCCACGCTTGTGCTTCAATGCAGCTATAGCCCCGCGGAGCCTCCGTCTGATTTCCGCCACGTATACGTTGTGGAATAATCGTTGGCATTAACGAGCAATTCTCTCTCTCTCTCTCTCTCTCTCTCTCTCTGGCACGAAATAGCCGATTAAAAGAGGAGCGTTCACGCGGAAAAAACACGACTCGTTGATTGGAATCGCGACGAGAGATCGAGGAAAGCCCAGTGGCACAATTCATTCGCAATATATTGGTCGCAATATTGGTTATATTGGCATTTATTGGAGTTACGTTGAACGAATGTTGCCTGATACAAGCCAGACAGCCAAACCTGCAGATTTTGCACAGTATTTGCTACAAATTTTGTCAATAGCTCGCTAACAGAAATATAACAGGATTCGCTAGCAGAGCCTGACAACAGATTAATCTGTGCTACATTGAGAAAATAAAATTGAAATTTTGCGAAGTAAACGTTTCTTGTGACGTTTCCTTCGATACTTATCGGTTGGGAGAAAATTTGACTGTGGCAATGGAATATATATATATATCTTTGTGAAATATACCCAGGTTTTCTTATCAATTGGTTTATTTGCTAGGAATAAAATTCCATTTCTCCGTATTTGAGCAAACATTGATTTCTGTGAAATAAACCTTATATTTCACAGATACATTTTTAAGCCTTTTTTTCTCAATGCAGTAAATCCCGTTATAATTCCATTAGAAAGCCGTCGGCAAAATTTATAACAGGTACTACCTAAAATCCGCTTTTGCTTTATAGCGGGCAAAATTCACTCAATGTATCGTCAATGAACGCCAATACTGCACCAATGTATCGCCAATGAATTGTGCACGTATCAGGGAAAATCGAGAGAAAGTTCTGTTTCCATTCCTTCTCTTCACACAAAGTCAAAGAGCAGCGGAGAAAAACACACGAGAGGCATGCGGGAATTTGCGCGGCTGCTGCTTCTCTCGTTGCATACGCACGCACCCACACGCGCACTGTCTCGAGATTTATGACGTAATTTTCGTTTGAGAGATGGATGACTCACATCCTATGATCCGCTTGCGGATGTCGTCGGGCCGAGTGTTGATGTGTATCGTTGAGCCATTGCCGTTGCTGATGGTCGCCATAGGTATGTCGGTGGGATTAACGCGCGATTCGAACCTCGCCACCTAAATGAACAGTCGAACGTGAGTCGTGAGGAGGCATGTCTTTTTCCTTTGTAGAAGCGTCTCGAGCAAAATTACACATGCACGTGTTACAAAAGCGCGACATTTATCACAACCGAGAGAGTAAGAGAGAGAGAGAGAGAGAGAGCGAAATAACTGAATTTAGATCGAGAGGAAAGAAATCTACGGAAGATGTACCCGCAAAATATTCTCGATTCGAAATTAATCCCGACTCTTTTCAACACGACACTACGATCCCCACTGCGACGTCGAGCGTCGGACACCGAATGCGCTCGATGCGCCCATCGTCGCGCTTAATACAAACAAGATTACACGTGGGAGGGTAGGTGGGTGCGTATCATCGACACGCGATTTCACTCTCCTCCAGATCCGGCGATAACGGCAACGGCACTATTTAATCGCACTTTCGACTTTATCTCACTCACGGATGGTGCACCGACGAGGGAGCGAGAGAGAGAGGAAAGAAAGGAGGTAAAGGAAGCAAGTATGGGAAGAGGGCGAAAGAGAGAGAAAGAGAGAGAGTGTCGCAGGGTGGTTTACGCATCCTTTGGCCCGCTTCCCTGCCGGGCTGAGCACACACAGAGGTCGTCCACCCTCGCCCACCCTTAGCCTCCCTTGGAATTTTGCAGCGGCCAACGGCCTTCTTCGCGTTATCTCGCTCGTTCTGAAACGATCTCTCTCTCTCTCTCTCTCTCTCTCCTATCTGTTAAAAGTATCCTCGTTCTCCTCTCCTATTCACCTTGCGCCGCTGATGGTGTGCACCGTTAGCAGGAGTACCGACAGGACGAGTGAAGTAGTCGTCGCGGTGTCGCGACGTTTTATACAACGGGCGCCGCCCCGACGAGCAGTGGTAGTGTGCACGCGGCTCTGTCCGGCCCGGCCACGACACGAGCGTCACCGTGCATACACGAGCTATTTGCGGACACCGCGAAGCGACCGGTATCCGCGCACCGAAATACGCGCTCCCGGTGATGCGGCCGCCTCCTGCTGCCGCCGCCCTCGTCGACGGTGTACGATCGCATATTTCGCCGTGGGAAATCCGCTCCGATAAAGGGCGAAAATATAATTCGATCGATCTCGTATTGTCCCCCTTCTTTATTTCTCTTTCTCTCTCTTTCTTCCCCTCTCTCCCTTTCCAGCGATCCTCTTCTTCCTTTTGTCTTGGGATCAATTTTCAGGAACGCCAAGCCAGCTCGTTTCGTAGGAATTAAGGTCAGTTGTTCTTCGTAATTACGGAAGAAACAAAAAGTATCGCACGGTGAATTTTTATCGGAGCGTTCTTAGATCGTCTTAGATTAAATTCGAGGAGTTTCGCTTTTAATCCATTCCGTGGCCAAGCGGGATATTTAATTAAACACCCCACGACGGTGTTTGCGTTTCATTTTGTTGTTATCATATGTCTTACGGCTTGTACTTTTATATACGGGGTGTCCAAGCATAACATTTAAATATACTGGGAATCTTAAAAGTATGATAATAAAAGAAATATCCTTTCACGGTATTCCTCCGAAACCATTCAAATTGCACTGCTCTAAATATATTTCTCATATTGTTAAAAACAAAGGAGATATTTAGGTGTTCTCCTTACGCTGGGACACTCTGTACGTGACACTTCTATATATCTCACGAAATTAAGTGTAATTTTATTTTATAATTGTGCGCTATTTGATGTGGGTTTTGCCTAAGAAAATCGGTAAACCAAGTTTACGCGCAGCACCTGATGAAAATTTATTTGCAGGATTCATAGAAAAATGGAACAAATTATTGCCTAATTTGCCAAGAAGAATGACGAGAATGACTAGTAATAACTAAAATAAAGTTAAAATTCAAGTTCTATTTTTATGATATAGTTTCTTTTTTTAAATATTATTTCATTATTTAGTTTTGTGAATAAAAAAGATCATAAGCTTATAATATTTGTTATTTCTTAAAAACTAAATTATGAAATAAATATTATAGAAAAGTGACTCAACATCATATATATATATTAGGATATAAGAAATACTCCAACGGCCAATGGAAATTTTAGAATTTATTCACGGAAAGATTATGAACGCTTTCCGAGTAAATAATCATTCCCGTGCGCATCGTTCGTGCGATGCAAAATTAATAAAAGATCTCTATTGCGTTTGATCACTGACGTTTACACAAAGAGATAGTGAGCCACTTGCATTGATCGTAAAATCGGCATGTGATTATTAGCTAACTTTTCAAAACAAATGATTATATCGCCCACTGATAATTTCAGTAAAAAACACTTCTTCTACGTGATGTTCCTTTTTACGCTGAAAAAATTAACTGCTCCCTTCGAGTCAGGGCAAATACAGCTTTATCGCTCAATAAATTCGCAGCGACTTGGCGTTTGAACAAGATCAGCGGTTTTTCTTTTTTTTCCTCCGCAACATCTATATCTCACGTTGACTTTTCGATTATGTGGCGAATGATCAAGAAGAAGCGTGTCGCTCTACGCGAAATACGTGCATTTCACATGTACGTATTTCGCGTTGCGAATACATTTTGTGCCCATGAATAAAACACCTGAGAACGAGCACACTTGCGCGCTATATCGGCGCGGGCTCGCCTTCCTTCGTACGTGTATCTGGTAATAAAAGGCGAGTCAAGGATACCGGGCGGAAAGCACCAAAAGGGTTAATAGTCAACGCGAATAAATCAACGAAGACGAACACTCGTACAGTCATAACCCCATCAGTTGATTTATTTCCACGATTCCAAGTGCAATCGAAGCAATGGCGCACACCTGATAAATAACACTCTGTTAAACGTGTCAAGTATCGTTGACGAGATGGTGTTTTTCGCGTACATACGAATCGAAAAGCGTTGTATCTTGCTGAGCGTGTCCTCTTGCTTAACGGGATCTTGCGTACAACGACTGAGTTACACCACACTATAACGTGCTACACGTCGTTCTCCTCCTTCACACTTCTATAACAAACTCTTTCTTTTTTCTCTCGTCTCATGAGATAACATCCGCGAATACTTTCACTTTGTTTGGCATCGCGATCGGCGATAGAATATCGTGCGGTGTCATTAAAATTGTACAATTCGAGAAGAAACGGCGGATTATAAACAGCTGTCCGACTCGACCGTGTCGTAATCATATATATATATATATATATGTATATATATATATATATATATTATGTATGTATATTGTTACATCATATGCATAAAAAGTGAATTATAAAAATGCACTGGTCTTGCGCCTGACTGTTCCGTAACCTGTTCTTGCTGACGCAGACGAGGTCGGACGTCTCTCCTCATCTCCCCATCATCTTTCAACGTTACCGTCGTAGTGTTCCTTCAACGATCTCGCGTTAATATCCAATTTTTATATGAATTTTCTATATATGTACTAGGCAAATCGTTACAATGCGGAGAACGTGACGGGTGATAGATGCAGAGGATGTACGCATCGCCGTACAGGTCGAACGCGCGCCTGCCAGCACAGCGAGTGTCACGGCAACCCGGCTTGCTGACCTGCACGGTTGATGCAACACCCTGGTGCACTCGTGTGCGCGACACGGCTCGGACATTCGTTTTCTCCAGTTAGCGGAGCGTCACAAGTGGTCATTTGCGAGCCACCGTTCATAAGTCCACGCAGTGATCCGTTACGACGGGCGCAGCAAAAACAAGGCATCCGGGAAAGATAAGTATCTTTGTTACATTTTTGTTCGTCATGTTGATTTTCGCTTTATTACCGTCGCCCCCGTCGTAACCGATCACCACGCAAGCACCAATGAGCAGCGGCTCGAAATTATGGCGAAATTAATGTGCGTCGTTAATTGTTCGTAACTTGACCAGCGGGGAAAAATGCGTCCGAGCCGTCTCGAGCGAACGAGCGCACGCGGGACACACTGTTTATCGTCGCGACTCGACGCGATGAACAACCGTCGTCCGTTATGAAGTTGTCTCTTCTTGAGCGGAATCACCTCTCTCGCAGGCGTAAACGGTAAAACTGACTCGGTCCTCGGGGCTCTTCTTTACGATTCACTGCGTTCAATTTTGCGACTAATACTTAGAAAGCGAGACCAGCTTCCGAGTAAGTAGTGAATATCTTCTCGATCGAATTTGCGTACGCGGCTGTCCTCAGGTCAAGGCCAAGATTGAACTTCATGGCAGTCTTCATAATGGCCTGCAAGAAAAGAAACACGAGGCTATTCGTGTCCGGCTTTTTCTGTTGCGGCCTATAAAAGGTGTCTTAAAATAGTCAAGAAGATATCGTGGAATTTTCGAAACGGCAAACCGGTTTTCTTTTCTGCTGAATGAACGACTTTGGCGCAGGATCGTAAATAACTACGGAAATTGCTCGATCAGAAAACACTTTTTGCAAGAGAGAAATCTCTAAAATTGCCGAAACTTTTGACCGATTTACACGGAGGAAAAAGACTGAATTGGTCGAATTAACATAACAACGAACGGAGTCGAATTAATGTGCGTCGTTAATTGTTCGTAAAGGCTTGTTTTGTCACGTCAAGGCTCCCGGTCCCTCGCTGCAACTGTCCTTGTTTGATGACGTTATAAGCGAGAAAAAACATGCCAAGAATTATACATTCTACATTCAAAGAAAAAGATGCCCCTACGAAATGATATTCGTGGTCGATTCAGCACACTTGTAAAATTGTGAAAACACTTTTCGTTCACTCGAACAATCGATAAGTAGTCGTAAAATTAATACCGACAAAATTATAAGAAAAGAGATTAGAAAGGAAGTTTCCATATCAAATTAATTTCGTTAATTAAATAATATTAAAACAAGGACAAGAGTTGCAGCGAGGAGCCAGCAGCCTTAATTCGACCAATCTTTTTTTCTCCGTGCAACGTTACGTCGATTGGTCTTTTAATAATTACCCTGGCGGATCTCTCCATCGTATAATCCAGACCGGAGTGGACGATGTCTTTTTCGGAAGCACCGGAAATACGCTTCTGGAAGGCTTCAGACGGAGTAACGGGGATACGGCCACCGACGCGACCGAACCTGCGCTCTAAGGACTCCTGTACCGATTCTGCGGGCACAGATCAATTTGTTGACCACACCTTTTAGAAATAACGCGCGTCTGCGACGTGAATTAATTTAGTTGTTTCTCGACCGGGTTGGACGTACCTAACAGGTGATGGTTGGATTCCCTCTCGTACTTGAAAGTCAGGCGGCCGTAGGACACGTGGTTCAAGTTCTTCAGCCACTCGAAGAACGAGACTGTGACACCACCAGCGTTAATGTACAGGTCCGGAATTACGAGAATATTTCTATCAATTAAGATCTGATCTGCGGCGGGAGTGGTCGGCCCGTTGGCAGCCTCTGCGATGATCTTCGCCTGCGCAGAGAACACGATTCGCATTGCATTGTTCAGCGTGTCGATGTATCGTGCTGTCAACTGATTTATTCAGTCAGTTTACTTGTCAGCACCCAAGTGATCCTCACCTGAATACGTCCAGCGTTTTCTTTGGTAATTACTTTCTCTATGGCAGCGGGTATAAATATATCACATGGTTCGTACATAAGGTTCTCGCCTTCGTACGGCTTGGCTCCGGGAAAGCCGATGATGGTGCCGTTTTCTATACGATACTCTTCCAATTCCTAAAGCGCAGGAAAAAATTCGATGAGAAAATCTTATAAGTGGATTATTGATTGGTTGATTACGTAAATTTAAAATGAAGAAAATAAGATAAAAATTCGTTGAGCCCCTCCAGCTATCTCCGGCTTTACTTTTTAATCTTTCCTGAAGAATATAATAACTTCGTAACTTTGAAACTTGTGAAATATGTGACAAACTGAAATGTCTGTCCAATACGTTACGTAAAATCGCGGAGTAGTTACCGGAATACGGTACATTTTTCAGCCATTCTCAGTTATTGTCACGCTTGAACATGGTTAATGTGTAGGAATTACGTAAAATGTACCGTTCAGGAATTTATGTACTTAGCGATTTTACGTAACATACCGGATAGATATATCGGTTTGCCTCATATTTCACAGGTTTCAAGCTTACGAAACTATTATGCTCTTTAGGGAAAACTAAAAGAATAAGCATTTCTCGTACAACCAACATGACCATCGGAGATGATCGAGCCTTGGCCATAACAAAAAGGAAAAATTTTTTTAATAGATTATTATAAGCAGATGCTATAATATTGATAGAACGCTGTTAACTACCAATCGAGAATAATAGTATAAACTAAGAGGTGAATACTGTAATACTAATCGAATACTAAGCACATTGTATTCATCATAGAAGACATGGCAATTACGATGGAGTTGGCCAAAATACGTGTGCGAGGGAATTACCTTCGGATCGATGCCTTCGGAGTTGTAAATGGCTCCGTCGTGTTCGATCACACCTATGCAAGCGGCTCCGGCGCGATGCAAGTAACGCATGGAATGCAAACCCACGTTACCGAAACCTTGCACAATGAATGTTTTGCCTCCCCAGCCTGGTGTGGTACCTAAAAATTATTATACGCGTTAATTAGATTACGTGCGATATACATCATAAAATATATATATATAATTATCGTATATTTAAAAAGTCCGGTTTAATTTTCTGCCTTCTTCGACGGCAAATCCAACACCTTCCACAACAAAGGTAAATGAACGCCGTGAAAACGTTAAGAAATTGACCAATCACAGTCGAATATGAGGAGAATGACCGACTGTAATTGGTCAATTTTTTAAGGTTTAGAGCTTAAATTCTCATTGTAGACCCCGCTTAATTTGCCTCTATTAAATGCAATGAAGTCGTCGAATCGATTCAAAAATCGAGCCAAACTTCTCAACCGGTTGCGAATCAAAGTGAGGAATTCGCGTACGTACCAATCATGCTCATGTAATTGGCCTCGTTAATGAAGTTCTCCAAACCGTGGAAGACTCCACGTCCTGTCGCAGAGATACGACCGTGAATACCACCCTGATTTATAGGTTTACCGGTGACACAAGCGTGAGCGTTAATGTCGAGATGGCCGATAGTCTTCGCATAAGTGTCGGCTATCCAGGACATCTCTCGTACACCAGTACCCATGTCAGGTGCAGGAACATCGACGCCAGGTCCTGGAAATTCATTGAGAAGCCTTTGAGAAGTGTCATATCACAGAAGAGCGAGCTTTTTCCGCGTCTTCAGTTATTCAGCGTTATCCCTAGCTCGCCACATTCCGATCCGATGAACCGTTCTTCGATTTTCTAGGTTTTACACGGTAAAAAATTTGGTGTTAAATTTAACACATTTCACGTGTACCAAACTTTCGTGTTAATTCCACACGAGATGAATGTGTTGAAAAGTAACACAAATATTATGTCAAAAATTAACACAAAATTAATACGTTAACATGTTAATCGATACTGAAGTATAAAATGTGTTATTTTAACACGTACACATGTTGAATATCGACTCAACAAAAAATACTGAGATAACATAAACACAATATAATTAAATCAACTTACGAGTATATTGAAAATTAGCATAAAAATTTTAACAAGGACCCAATTTTACCATACAAGTGTAAAATACTTTTTACTATACGGCACATTATTTTTTTTCTCGAAGTATCAGATGTCCGCTATAAACATTACTTTTTTTTCGGTCGTATTTGCTAAACCACTTGAGAATTTTCCTCCGCAAATACACTATCTTACATCTTATTTAGATTCTGTATTTCCAAAATTTGCACATCACGAGGTTAAAAATACTGATTAGAATGAGAACAACGAGGTAGGAAAATCGAGCAGTCTCACGTGTCAGAGCGTGGTGAATTAAAGACTCGAAAACAAACGTGGCCAGCTGGGGTCAACGGGAAGCGCGCGAAATGCGCATAAAAATGTCTATACTATCGCGCAAGATAAATAATTCATAGGATGTTAATCCATCTGCAATCTTGTGTCGCAAGTGGACAGTAGATTAATCTGTTTACACGTTTCACGCGCCCCCTTCCAACCTCGTATCGGCGTTTATCGTTATCTATCTAAACGCAAGAACGATTGCCTGCGGCACTCGAGACGGTGCGTTAATGAATCTCGTTCTTCTTCTTCTCACGGACGCAAACGTGAGCGAACAAAAGCGTTTCAAGGAATTAGCCGTGCAAAAGTCGGGCTAATAAATCTTTACGGCAATCAATCCGGGCCGCATAGCAGCTGTTGCCCGCCACGTGTTTGCTCGGTTGCGCGTGTATTGTGTGTGCATGTGTGACGTAATCGGTGGCGTCATCGGCCACGTCGATCGTGTGAATTTCTTACGCTGATAAACTCGCGGATAATCACTCTCGGAGAGCGGAGCCTCCTAGGTAGGATGGTTCTCGCGTCTTCTCGCGGAGGCATCTAAAATTATCGCGCAAACGTCACGTGCGCATCGCTCCATCACACCCATTTACGATGATGTAACGGTCGCGTAAATTACCTCTTCGTCGAGAAGTCGACAGAGTCGAAGTCTTCTCGGCTCTCTTCCCCTCCCCCCCCCCTCTTTTCTCCTGCCACCCATGCAACGAATGTGCTCGACACAAGCTGCTTACCGATGAAACCTTTCTTCGCCAATTCTAGCGTGAATCTCCTGGTGATCTTCTCCAGCTCGTGCTCGGAGTAGTTCTTAGGATTAATCTTGATGCCCGCTTTCGCACCTCCGAACGGTACGTCGACGCACGCACATTTGAAAGTCATCAGAGCCGACAGGGCCTTAACTTCGTCCCGTGAGACGTCCATCGAGAAACGGATACCTGTGGACAGTCGATTAAATTAAACGCCTGTGACAACTTCATATATAATTATTAATCGGGAAACGCAAAAGTACGTTAATTAATTAATTTTCGAACGTTTAGAAATTTAGTTTTAAAGTTTCGGAAAAAAAGTTTCTGTCCCGAAAGAAATTTCTTACAGAAGATTCGTTTAGAGAGATTCACGCGTGTTTAGTTAAAACCTGACACATCTACTTTTTCCGCAGAGGAGGTGAAGAAACTGAACAAATCTGCGGGAAAATTTGGGAAAAACCGGGTTTCTTCCGAAATTTCAAAGATATATCGAAAATATACTCTGAAATGAAGTCTCGTATGAGAAAACTTCATATATAACAATAATTATTATTTACTTATATATAACTGTTATTTATACTCAATTATCTCATTGTTATTACTCGATTGTTTACGTATAATTAATTTGTATATAATTTCTAGCCCTTTCTTTTTGGAAGTTTGCCCTTCCCGTTGGTTGCCGCTTTGTGACCTATGAAACACTTCGTGTAATTCGGAGGAATATATATCGTCATTGTGCATGATGCATATGTAAATATATCATCGCATAATCTTGGCATGTCGGTGGATTAGAATATGCGGCATGTCTCTAGTCGTTCGTTCTTTATCACGGGATCGGTCTGCAAGCGAGAAGCTATAAAAGAAGTCTAAAAATACTATCATCGACGCTTCGCAAACATCTTTTAAGCATCCAAACACGCTCGCTCACGCGCTTACAAACCTACACTCACGGTCATACGATATTTGCCTTCTAATTGGCGTTTCGCATGTAAAATTTCACGTTACGCGAATTATCGTCCGTTCGTTAACGGGTTTCCCGACCGACCGACTCGTGACGTCCATCACGTGACGGCGTATTTTCGCTATCTTGTATAACAGCGGCAAAGTAGACCCACAAATATGCGGTCTCCTCGTGCGCTAATTATTATCTAATCCAACACAACTTGACTTTGTTTTCGCAGGCCGTCCTGCCCCAAGGGAAATTTTTACAGAAATTCATGTAGAAAAATTCACGTGTGCTCGATTAAAACCTGCCGTATTTAGTTCTTTCCGTGACTCGTGGCGTTTCTAAAGGACCGTCTATATTGGAGATAATAACACTGCGAAGTAGGGAACAAGAGAACAACACATTTCCCAGTGGAATAACGGTATAATAAGCGTAACACGCTCATCCCCATTTCCTATTCCCTACTGCCTTATTACTACCCCAATACTCTTTATTTATTACTTCCAATGTCGACCTCGAATCCTTTGCTGTTTACTTCCAATGTAGACGGTCCTTAAGGCGAATCGCCGAAACGGCGTTGAGCGGCGGCGGTGAGGATCATTGACTCGAAATATCATGTCATTGTCATTAAATGCGTCCTACGGGTGGATTCCCGATTTATTTTCGGCCGCTCGTTCACGGCTTGGCGCGCACGAATAAAAATCTCAGACGGTCTGGCATCGTTCATCGTCGAATTTTAATCAGTTGATCGAATCATATACACGGAAAAAAATTAATAACAATCCGAGACTCGTGTTCTCACGTGTGAAAGCAAGAATATGTAATCTTACGTGAAAGAATTCCACGTAGTTCTACTAAAAATATATTTATATCGTTCAAGAATCATTTCCATGAATTGAGAGGAGAAAGTATTTGACAGAAAGAACGATATCCTCGAACCGAGAATTTTATCTGTTCGGTCAGAATTTTATCAGATATCGTTCTTTCTGTTCAGTATTTCTCCCCTCTATTCATAGACATTATTCTTGAGTAACGAGAATACGATACTTTTAGCGGGACTAAATATAGAATTTCTTCATGCACACACAAGAGCAAGCTTTATCTTCGTATAAGATTATGTATTCTTGTTTATATATGAGAATATAAGTCTTGAATTGATACTAATTTTTTCCATGTACTCTCTATCGCCGATCGGCCGTCGTTTCGGTTTCCTTGACATTCTAATGATATTATAATGTAATGTAAATAAATTATAATGTAATATTATAATATAATAATATACATAATAATATGCATAAAACAAAAACATATAATGTTCCGCTGAAGACCGTTTTACATTGTCACGCCTCAGCTCGACGGACATCGCGATAAGCGTCGGGTCGAGGAGAAACTTATCGCACGATTAATTGATTCAATTAACCGGCGTCGCAACGCGAGACGCGTCGAGACTCTTCTGTCTCTTTTTTTCCCTCATCGCGATATACGTTTAGAATTTTTCGCTGCAGGGACTCAACCTGGTTACAGTGTCGTATGCTAAAAAAGGGACGAGGCAGCTTTCGTCAGCTGTCCCCCCCCCCCTTCACCCTCCCAATGAGATCATTTCGGAGCCTTCTCCGCCTCTTTCGCATCTGGACGAATGGAATTTTCAATTCAAACGGACACACATCTGCCATTACACATCCTTGGGACAAGAGATCGGAGTCGGCGAAGCCTTAAAACTCGCCTACGCGTTGGGCGTTGAACGTGCAGGCAGCGCAACAGCCGAGCAACCTGATAACTGGACGCATAAATATCGCTGGTTCGGTGACTAATCAGGATTTTTTCGTAACTCTTCGCAGCCGTCCGACCGTGGACGAGACAGAGATAGAGACCAGGGGCTCGGCTCGGTCAGCCTCGATAAAACTCCGAAACTTTTCGCTCACGCATGGGCTCACGCAACCTATATCGATCGCGCGAACAATGATAGCCTCTCTCGCTCTGTCTCTCTCCCTCTTTCTTTCTCTCAGACAAAATCAAAGAAAAAGAAACGCGACAATGCGGACAACGCACGAATGTTAATTGCGAAAATGTTATTGAGATACGTGTGTCTCGTCGTTCGACCTTATCAACGCTCGAAGGCGTTTCGTAACGAGGTATGTTTGAGAGAGAGACAATTCGGAAGATACTCGGGCGCAGTCACATGCGAGAAAGCGAGGCACGCCGCTTATCGCTCTCGGGACGATGATAAATTTTCCTTATCAGCCGGCCACTCGATCGTCTTACGACACGCGTCTATCTTCTCGGAGAAGTTTCGCGCCGGCGACATCCTTGAGACAATCCGAGGATGCGAAGCGAAATTCACACGCAAAATACGCGCAATACCCCCCTCCCGCCCGGCACGGCGGAGAAACACTCGAGTTCCCGGTCGGCTAGTCGAACCTGCGGAAACAGATTTTGCGCAGTGAATTCGCTATGAATTGCCGCCGACGGCTCGAAAATATTACGGAACCCGTGGAGAGAGCGCAACGTGGCAGATCGATGGCAGAAACCGAGGGACAGGATCTAATCTGTCGTCCCGCATCCGCATCTCAATGGCTGACACAATACCGATTCTTTATGCTCGGTTTTTGCCATTGATCCGCCGTTAAGCTGTGTGGACGCAGGTAACAAGCCGTAAAATTCTCACTAAACCCGCTACCAAATCGCTCTGGTATGCTGCTAACATTTTGTTTATAAACAAATAAATGCAAGTAAATAAATAAATATGTGTATAACTAGGTTAAAATTATTTTGAAATTATTTAGCGCACATAAATTTCTCATGTCTTTGTTGAGTATACTTATAAAATGTATTTACAAAATTATAAATTAAACATATATTTAATTGTACATATATATATTTTTTTCTTTTTAATAAGAGTATGAGAAATGCGTGTATGTGCTAAATAAATAAATTTAAGAAGGGTAAATAAGATTAATTCGAGATATTAGAACGAGAGGTTGAACATCAGTGAGGGGCGGATGTTAACGGACAGGAAGAACGCGCGACATTTGACGCGAAAACGGCAAAGGAGAGCCGAAAAAGATAAAGAGAACAAAAGGAGTCAGGTATGCAGCATACCTCCTTTGCACGGCGTCCGATGAGTGGAATGTTGGGCGCGATAGCCGGTGATCATCTCGTAGTCGCCGGAGTCGCGTCTCAGCGGGAACGTGGTCTCGAGGATGTGGTCGCACGGCTCCATCAACATCAGGATGCCCTTGACCTTCTTCTTGCGCTCCTCCACTGGCAGCCGCGAGCGCTTGCCAACATCCTCGACCAGCTTCTCCTCGACGATCTGGCAGGCGCGATGGAAGAAGTACTCCACCATGTCGAAGAACTTGGGATTCGGCGCCGTGGGCACGTCCTTCAGCCGCTCCGGGATCTGGTGGTCGGCGTAGCCGCGGGTGTTGGCCTGCACGGCAGCCGGCAGGACTCGCGCCAACATGCCTCGCAGAACGTCGTTGCTCGGCGCCTGCTTCAAGGCGATCGACGAGCGCGCAAGACCCCGCACGTGAAACATCTTCGTGCGACGGACAAGCGTGACGATGACGACAACGGTGAGGAAGACGACGGCGACGAAGAGGAGAACGATGACAGGCTACGATGACAGTCACGACGTTCAATCCGAAGAACCGAGCTAATCCGATCGTAACGATACTGACTGAACACGACCCGTCGGCCGACTGCGTCCGATCACACGCGACTTTGTGCGATGAAGACGAGTGGTGAGGATCGATGGGTCGACGTTCGATCCTCTCGTTCGCCGGATCGACCGTCCTCTCGATACTTTCGAGAGACCCGATTGCCTCCCACATCGATAGTCTTAACTCGATACCTATATCGATCCCCGTCATTTAACTTACTGACTTGCATATAGTTTCTGTACATGTGTGTGTGTGTGAGTGCGTATGAATAAATGAATATTATATGATAAATATATGCATATTTGATTTGAAACGCATTGAAATGAGGCTGCACTTCGTCGTTGGAGCGTAAAATTGGGAAACAATAATATCTAATCTACTATCATCGCTTACCGCGTTCCGTCCTGCAGCCGAAAGGTATTTTCCTCAATGACAATAGCAACACTATTGTATGATAAGTAGATAATATTTATATGTGTATATATAGCTACTTCTACGGTTTTTCATTTCCTGATTAACTTGTAGTTTAGATTTAGCCCGATGATAATGTAAAAATTGTTTTCTTTTCACGACTATCAAACTTTACAAGTCACCACCATAAAACCACCAGTTTAATGATCAACCATGAATAGAGAAAAGCAATTTTTAAATAATCATCAGTTGAAATGTAAACCACAAGTTAACCAGAAAATGAAAAACAAGGCCTTTTTATCTATCTAATATTTAAGTCTTTAGATAAGGCAATCATATCAGTCACAATGTTGTTGGCCTTGCTTTTTGGATCTCTATACTAATTCATTATTTATTTATAATTATTCTATTACTTTATTAGATTATTTGGGACTAGTAAAGTTATTACTATTATTATTAATTCGCACTATAATTTCAGTTTTTCATTAGATAACAGCCAGCACAAGAAACTTTGAAATTAATAAAAAAGTAATAGATACAATATATACTATATATGTATATATATCAAAATATCGTTTTTACTTGATCTTTTTATACAATATGACGATTATACAAGGAATGTGTACCTTCGTCTTAATAATATTTTGTTTTTTCAGTGCCCCTGCAAACAACAAGTCGTGGTTCTGTAATTTTATACAAATTGGAAACTTTCTTTTACAAATACTATTCTCTGCTTTAATCTACGGTATCCTTCCGTATTGTGTTACAGACTTCTATTATTCAATAATTGCACTCGCTAACAACTTGTTAAAGACTAACATTTCAGCCTTTCCTTCATAAGTCGCCAATCACTTTCCCCTCTTATGTACTGCTCGTTGTAAATTATTATATTGCAATATCATACACTGTAATATATCAATGATTACGCTCTGATTTCCAGTTTGGTTATTGCATCGTGTACATTCTCGATCACACTGTATATGTATGGACGCTCCATAGAATTGACTTTTAACATTGAGAGGATTAAACTCTGCATGTCCTATAAAGTGAACAAGTAAAATACACGATATCTTAAGCCGGTATACATTATGGTTTCATCTTACACTTAAGATTATCTTAAGTTCATCTTCAGATGCTGTACGGCTCATTTCATTGGCTACGAAAAATCTGAAGATAAATTTACGACAGTCTTGAATATAAGATCCAACTGATGAATACCGGCCTTAAATCTGGCAACTAGTACCACATGAATGCAGCATAAGAAGAATAATATATAACACATTACAATTACCTCGTTATATGGAGTGCCTTCTGGAAACATAACATGTGCGCTCATCACAGCGAGAGCCACACTATCACCTCGCTCATAAACAGTATCAAAAGGTGATTTAAAGTAACACAGTGCATAAAGTATACAACCCAACGACTGAAAGGAAGGCACACTATAATTAAATCCATTACTCAAGCCATTACTCGTATCTGATCGAAGAGACTTGTTTCACTGCTGCTGCTGCTTACCCAGATGTCTGTTCGTTCGTCAACCATGCAATAACTCTCAACGTTGAATAATTCTGGCGCCCTGTACGGCATGGAGCACCTTTCAGCAGCTAAGTCTTGTAAAGTCCGCGCAGCTTGCGTACCACATACTTGAACTCTGGCAGTTGTTACTGAACCTATATGGAACCTTATTAGTGCTTGATGACAAGCCTGTATGCCAGCTAAATATTAAAAAGACAACATAAAATATTGTCTACCTAAATCCATAATCACAGGTGTCCCATCATCACTAAGTACTATATTCGCAGTTTTTAGATCTCTATGTGCAAGAGGATCAGGCTTGGCTTCATGAAATGCTTTCACACCTTCACAAATCTGTAGAAAAATATTGAGTATATCTATAGGGCTCATATAATCGCTATTCTTAGCTCGTTGTTCTAATTCGTCCAGTAATGTTCCTCTCTGAAATTGCAACAGCATTGATAGGTTTACCAGGTCATTTGGGCCATATTTTCGTTAAAGGATTGTACCAGCGTACATGGTAATATGGTAAAACGATTAACACTTCGCTTGTTGTATTGACGATTGGGTCAGCTATACCCTCACGAGCTGAATCAATGCATTTTATAACATTAGGATGCTTTATCAGATTGTAATATTCTATTTCCTTTGCTGCCATTTGTTGATCCTCCGGCCCATGACAGATGATCTTCTTAATAGCATATTTCTTGTGCGTTGCGGCATCCTCTCCCAAAAGTACCGTACTGAACCCACTGAAAGTGGAAAGTTTTTAATTACACACGCGAAATCACAAATGCGAGATTACTTGTGGGACGAAGATAATTCATATCTTTGAAAAACTTGCCCTTCTCCAAGGTGTTCACGGATCGTATATTTCCTCGAGTTTACCGTAACGGTCTCTTTCGCGCAAATGCAACCCATTCTGAAAATCAGGCTTAAACCTAAGCTATTCATCTTCGTCGTTTGTCATCACGATAAAAAAAAAAAACGCAAAGAAATTTCACGAGAAGTAATCTCGCTCCGTTGTCACTGGCATACAAACATCTTGACACGTCAATTATATTAGGTTAAGAACTCGAGCGAATGTGAAGAGAGTCTATGTGTGAGTGGCTACTGGAATGCGAAGCGAATGTTATTCTCGTCTCTCTTCCTCTCTCTCATCTATATATTGATATTAGGGGTTTCACACATGTATTACTCTTGAACTTGCATCAAACTAGATACCAGAGACTGGGGGATTGGAGGATTCGTGAAAAGAATTCGACGAATTAGTTAATTTTCTTTTTACATCTTTGCTTTGTTTTAATTGATCGAATTCAACGACAATCCGGTGAATTCTCTTTTATCGATAGAAATACCTCTGAAAGTGACTTGAGAACCATCTGATTGGCTGAGATCTTGAGGCACTTTTATCGATGAAAGAAAATTCTGAATACAAATGTTGATCAATGAAATTACAAATATTCGAGTAAACTCGCCCATTTTTGTCAGTTTCACTACGTTTTGAGATACACAATCGACGTCGTGGGATTTAATAAAATTATAAGATACGATTGCGACTATTATGATTAAATTATGCTCTCTTACACTACCATTATTTTATTACACGTTATATATATAGAATGTAATATATATGGATTATAGTATGTTGCATTGAAGTACATAGCAAAATATCATAATCGACTTTGACATGTCTTCGATAGCCTTCAGTTTACGCAATTCAATCGAAAGCTGTTAAATATTTATGCGGTTTGGCAGTTCTTGCTAAATGTGTCATTCGGCTTTGGTTTTGCTGCAGTTTGTCCGCAACCGATTCTCCAGCCCGAAGCCGGACGACTTCGACGATCAATTTCCTCATCGGTCGGAATCAACTCGTATCGAGCTTCGAATCGGCGCCGTTCGTCGCTGCGGCACATGAGAAGCTAGGCTTCAGTGTTTTCGCATGCCGCGTCTGCCACGGATTTACGTTCGTTGTATATTTTTTCGAGTTCACTCTACTCCACCTGTGATCGAAGTGCTTCAGTGCGTTGGAAAAAATGTGACAGCACGCGACACGAAACACCGTAACGTGTCGCATCGTTAACGAGACTGGGACGATAATTGGTCGCGCTGGCTAACCTGATCTAACCTCACTGCGGTGGTGTATCATCAGCCAAATGTTAATGTACAGTTTATTACACAGTATATTTTTTCCTAGCAGTTTTTACGGTACGTACGTTGCGCTCTTCAATGCAATTTGCGAATCGTGAATTGCCGAGGCGAAAATTCGCAAACTTTCTCGCTCTGCCGCAGGCCACGTAAAATATTTGCTTTCTACTGTAAATACATAACGACGGCCGTTGCCCGGGATCACGATAGCGTGATTTTAATTACGAGATCACCACGTTGACTACGTTGTGTATCGTGAGAGATGAGCGAGACAGCGCCGACGAATGATGTACCGGAGAGCAACGGCACGGTTGAGCAGCCTGCTTACAACGGGGAGACGGAGGAACACATTAGTAAATATATCACTTTAATTCACATCCCAACTGCTTGTCTGGTGTATTAGCCGATAAAACTACTTGTTTCATTAGACAAATCTCCAGTGAGCCTAGTAGAGGACAAGATACCGGACTCGGTATGCGACAATAGTCCGAAGAAGAATACCAGCAGCAACAACAGTAGCACAACAAATAGAGCAAAGAAACGGAAGAAGACTCTAAGAGACGCCACTGCCCCAAAACAACCACTTACGGGTTATTTCCGGTAATGAAGTGAAAGAATACAGGATGTCTGAAAACGTGCTGGAAATATTTCAAGGATCAACTTGGAAATGCATTTGGAGTTAGAAAGTCTATGTAAACATGTGTCCTAAACTTTAGTTGTCGCTAAGTTATTGTTTGTTTCATAATTTAACTTTCTAGTACTCGCACTCAAAAGCTTATAGAAACATATAATTGTGTGCAGACTCCCCCCAGTCTGCGTGCTAGTAGTGGAAAATAAAGTGGCCAAAACTCGAGTTGAACAGGATTTAATAAATGAAGAAGTGTTTTTATAGTAATAATCAGAAATCCTATTGAGAACTTAACAGTCACTTCTATAACATACTGTGGTTATGTGCATTGAACACAATGGTGATAATTTTGAACATTTCTTGTAAACAAGATAAACAAAATGCAGAAGAATACTGCTTTATTTAGAATACTGCTTATTAAACCCTATTCAAACGTTCGCCACTTAAATTATAAAATAAACAATAACTCGACAACTTAAGTTTAGGACATATGTTTGTATAGACTTTTTCACTCTAAATACATTCCCAAATTGATCCTTGAAATATTTCCGATAAGTTTTCAGACACCTTCCATATATGTGTATTAAAATATGTCGACAATGAAGCTTGAAATGAGCAGGTTTTTGAATGACCGGCGGGAGAAGGTCCGAAACGAGAATCCGAATCTTTCATTCACAGAGATCACGAAGCTCCTGGCTTCGGAATGGAGCACGTTGCCACCTGATCAGAAGCAGGTTCGTCGCTTTTTCACGATATCCATTTGCATCTCGCTAAGCGCTAAAGGGACACTGAATCTTACAGCAATACCTAGACGCAGCCGAGCAGGACAAGGAACGCTACAACCGTGAAATTAGCGACTATAAGCAAACGGAAGCGTACCGTCTGTTCAATGAGAAACAAACGGAGAAGCAAAACGAGAGTAAAAAAGAGAGGAACGGGACTGGCGTAAATGCCGAGCAGAACGTACGATCAAATTGTCGTCACGCTCGAGACCGATCGCTTCGACAAAATGGCGTTGCTATTGGAAACTCCCCGTCTTTTTTTCTTTCTTTCAGGACGTGCAGCAAGAGAAGGACAATGATTTCACGGGCTTCGACATCCCTATTTTTACAGAAGAATTCCTGGATCACAATAAAGGTGAGGAATGGTCACTGCGGACGGAGTGACATGAGATACACCAAATACTGGTAACCGATGCGGCCAGCCGAATATTAAAACATTCACACGTTTGTTCGTGCAGCCTGCGAAGCCGAATTGAGACAGCTACGGAAAGTCACGTCCGACTACGAGAGCCACAACGCGGTCCTCCAGCTGCACGTCGACACTCTGCACACCGCTGTGAACGAGCTGGAATCCGAGATTTACCAGCAACGAACGACCAATCAGGCTCTACAGCGTCACTTGGACACTCTTCGTTCGCAACTGGCCACCTGCTTCGCCAACATACCGCTACCAGGTGAGCGTCGCCGCGAATCCCCCTCGATTCGACTCAGTCTTACTTCGCCACAATCGTGCAAAAACACTTTGGATTCCCGCAGAGACGCACAACGGTGCTACGTTACAAAATATCGACGGTTACTTCGAGAGGCTGGAATCCCTGTTGAACGGTAATGCCGAGCAGAGTCTACGTAACGCTGTACGCAATGCTATATCTCGTCTCGAGTTAATTGGATGACGATCGCCTCCTAGCAGTACGACTAGTACGACGTCGTTGAAACATCATCGCTCGAGGCATCCATATCGAAAGTAGCGAGGAACGTAAAGGTGTGTGTGTTGTGTGTGTACGCGTGCGTGTGTGTGTGTATGTACACGAGATAGCGAACGTGTTGGTTTTTGACAGTTCATCATGAGTCTACTTTCTTATCTTATATTGAATGATCGCCAGTTATATAAGTGGACATATACATATATATATGTATATATATATGTGTATGTATTGCAGCTGATTATTATTTTTGTAGCAATTCTATGGCGTACGCGCGACAATAATTTAAATCTCATTTTATATATCTATATTTCCGCGATCGAGGAATGTTTTACGGATAATATATATATATATATTACATATATATATTACACGTATATACGTATAATTTAATGTTATCTTTCGCTGCTATTTGTATATTTTAGCTCGATAATTAGGCGAATATGTACGGTTTTCGGTACACGAACATAGGGTACACGCCCGTTGAAATCAGATCAGCATTTTGAATTTACCGGTCGTCAGTCCGAGAACTTCTAGGAAGAAATCCGGATCGTCATTATTGAGGACACATATTTAGCGCTTATTAATAAATTTTGTAACCTTATCACAATTTATTGTCCATATTCAGCATGTGTTTTTTCAGCTGATTCCACATAAACCTGAAATTACGGCGATCTTTAATCAATGTCGCACCAAAATATGCACGCACGCACGCATGTAACGGTGATGGATTTCCCATTTCAAAAAATTTACCGGACTGTGGTCCTTACCTCAAGGACACCGCGTTGTGTCGACGATGTTGTTCAGCCTGCGATACGACAGCTTCGATCTGCGGCAACAAACCGATTATTGTACCCTTCGTTATCGGCAGGACCGATCGTAGAAACTCGAACGTGGGTTGCATGTTTAGCGTCAAGTGCTTTCGCATCGCAGCGGAAATGACAGTCTGGAATTTTTCTCTGAAAAGAAGACTCTGAACGTACACGTGTGTACGGAGAAATGTTTGCTTTTGACAATAATAATATCTCGAGGCATTCGTTTACCTGATTATCTTATTTTCCTCGTAGTAAGGACTCTTGATTACGTCACTGATGAAATCGATCGTGTGCAGCTTGTGCGGATGATGATCGTGAACCTTCATGTAGCATCCGAAGATGTTCGGCAAACAAACCTGAATGATATGTTCCACGATATACCTGGGATACGTTTTTCCATCTTTAAGCAGTGTCTTAATGAGCCAAGTTATCTGTATGAACATATAAAACAGATATATTTCGTTATTATATATATATAATTACGGCGCTGTTGTGCGTACCAAAATGGAATGTTTATGCATGACATTGTCGGACGATGTACTGTAAAAATTCGACATCAGCATCTCGAAGATCGAACGCATGAATTCGCAAGTCGCCTCTTTGAAACACTTCAGCAATATATCGGAAATCTTAAAACTGGCACCGCTGTTGATCTCAGTTATTAAAATCGGCAGGTATTGATCGAAGATATCTCTTATCATCGCCTGCAGAATTATATCACCCTTGACGTTCAATTTCTCCAGACCGAGTATCATCATGGAGAATATTCTCTTTCCCAATTGCTTGATATACGGCTGCGTTGAATTCTCAGGCACGAGTATAACCTTGTTGACCAGCGTTCTTAACATATCGTTCGGTTGATTCTGCGAAAAAAAAAACCCAAATTTTTTAGAAAATCAGAACGTCTCAACGTTTCCGTAATCGGAAATGAGTTGAGTCGCATACTTTAGTATACAGGATCGGCGAAATGCAGAGTATCAACGTCCCGAGGCACCTGTAGATCCAGAATGCCGCTTCCGAGTCTCTTGTTTCCTCCGTTATGGGTATCAGGACCCACTTCTCCAGATTCTTGAAGTACGTCCTACATTTTGCACTATAATGGAATCTCTCCTGTTCAGACTATGAAATTTTTAGTCAGTTGTATTAATTCGCCTCCAGACCAAGGCAGCAGTATTCGATTCATTGAGACCTTCTCAGTACCTTTAAAAGATTCTGCCTTTTCATGAGCGATATTATGAAAGTCAGGATGGGTTCGTTGCTGTTCCGAAATTCCTGCAGATCATCAGCCGATACAAATATATCTTGAATCTCATAAATCTCGGTAATATAATACTGCAGGATCTTTAGTTCCTCCTTGTCAGTGCCGTGACCGACGATAGAACACTTGACCCAGGCCTAGAAAATATCCTGTTTGAATTGTCTCGGAAAGTGTACATAGAGCAAACACATTATTCAATACGAACTTGAATAAGAGTGGTATCGAAATTAACGATTTCTGTCTTCAAGCTTCGTACAGTCTGGCTGTCCTCGAGAAGTGACGCTAAATAATACTGAGTAATTCTGAAACAATATATCTCTACGTTACTGTCGGTACAGATACGCGAATTTTCAGACAATTTTCACCTTGTATCTTTAATGAATATTGATGCCGCGAAATGTTGGAATAAAGACGCAACCGAATGCTTATATTTCTTGGCAGTAGCTGGATCCCTGATTCCCTCGAGCGTGAATATGACAGCTAGTTTGGCGATATCTTTGTAGTTATCGCCGCTGAGAACAGGATCGAAGACTAGTTGACGAACTCTGGAAGCGACAAAACACCAGAGCGCGTCCAAAATTTTTCTGGCACCATCTGCAAGCAAGCCTCGATTAATTGACCTGGACGAGATATATACAACGATAAATATTCACGATAAATATACAACTGAGGATATACTTTTGACCGGGACGCCGGTATTAACGCGCAGAGATAAACATACCGACCTGAATTGTCGCAGGAAACTTGCAAGACACACTTCTCGAAAACGTTGGCGAGCATCCCGAGCAAAGCGGCGATTCTATTTTTCGGACACTCCAAGAGGTAACGATCGATCCAGCCGCCGATGAAATGATGTTCCCCCAGATCCATTTTCTCGTTGCCGGATAAGATCTTATTTAGCACGTCGACGAAGTTTGTCATCATGGAGCGAGATACTTCGTCTTTACGGCAGCTTATTAAGTTGATCTGTTAAACAAATCGAGATATGCGTTTTCTTTTTTTTACGTATGCTTTTAAAGCTCAGTTACCCCCGTGTTGCGTCGAGCCGCAGCTGATGCTGCATTGTTATTATATATACATTAGTGGGCCCACTGTCTCGTTCGTTCAGCGAGACATAACATATATATATCCACGCAACGGACACGACTAGCGTTCGACCCATCTCCACGCGTAATGCGGCGGAGCATTCTCATTGGTTACTCGTATTTGTTACTCGCATTGTCACTCGCATTTTTTTGGTTTCCTATAAAGGGAACTGCCGCGCACGGCGACGGCATTGTTCGCTCGTTAGCTTCGTCGTACGCATCGCGTGACTAATAACAGAATACAAGAAGAAGCCGAGTCTTCATATTCATTGTAAGAAGCCGAGTCTTCATATTCATGATTCATTATAAAACTGCATTACAACCAACGAAACTAGTGTGCGGAGTGACCTTCCTCACACCTACGGAACATGGATAGCCCGATAGCCAAAACCGGTTTTACGACATCAGAGATGAGAAATATGACATGTAGCGAATTTCTTGCGACATGTAATTTTATTTTTTAGTCCCCACTGAAAAAAACATAATAATTTCGTAACCCTGAAACTTACAAAAAATGCGACAAACTCAGATGTCTGTCCGATACATCGCGTAAAATCAATAAAAAATTCCTGAAATAATGGTACATTTTTCAGCTTATTCTCAATTATCATGGTTGAAAAATGTTATTTCAGGAATTATTTCGCGATTCTACGTGACATATTGGACAGACATCTCGGTTTGTCACATATTTTACAGGTTTCAAGATTCGACACGAAACTATTATATTTTTCGTATGGCCGTCGAAGATAGCAGAGCCTTAAATACAGATGATAGAACTTACTGTTTCTGTGAAATGATTAGCTATAGAACTAAAGGATAATCCCTTTTCGTTGAACAACAGCAGACACACCAGTTTCCCTTTCCAAACTAAATTGTGCTTCTTGTTGTTTTCATTGTTTACCTCGTTTGTAGATGGCAACAGTTCCAGCATTGTTAAACACTTGCGAGAACAAAATGTAGGTTACTTACACATCGTCGACACACGTAACCGACGGCACTTCACACACATCTCAACTTACCACGTTAGTAGTATCTGCAGTAATGGCTAAAGTAATAAATAAAGATATGAAATTATATAGGCCGCTTTCGGAGAATTCCCTGACTTTGCTCTTGGAGAATCTCGTATACACGCGACCCTTGACCTGATTCCAATACTTCGCATCCATCTTGCTGTAGTTCTTCAAGAAAGTCCCTGAAAGAATAATCTTTACAACACGGAGTCAACGCGCGGGAAAGTTTTCGTCAGGCTTACCTAGCAGATGCAAGAACATGCTGTAGCTCGATTCCTTAGACTGCTCGAACTTGCCGTCAATTCTATCGTTGATTTGTTTCAGAATATCCGCAGCGCTTTTCCTAAAATAAAAAAAAAATTTGCATAAGAATATATTATGAATATTCTTATAATATTGTAACATAATATATCTCGAACACAGAGACGATTGTGATCGCGAATTTGCAGTTCACATCCATACTTTTCAAAAGACAAGGCCCAGGGCCCGGAAGTCTGCTGTAAGAACGGCTGGTCCAATCTCTTGTGAAAGCAGTCCCAGAGACCCAAAGACACAACTGATATCCTCGGTTTCCACCAGTTAATAATGAGGTCGTGTAACAACGGTATTATAATCTTCAGCTCGGTATCAAGTTCGTCCCTCTCGCCGTCCTTCCCTCCCTTGCAGACATATACTTTGAGAATTTTCTCAACTTGCTCGTAATTAGATCTGATCTGCAAATTCGATGAACGCTTATCTACCTGCGATCTCGCTGGCCTGATCTCTACGTTAAAATTTGTCATGTACTACCCTTGGCGAGGAAGATTGTAAGTATATGCCGTCGCTGCTGTATCCGTACAACAGAGACAAGTGGTATATTATCCAGATGCAGAACAGTTCGGAGTTTTTACAGTCTGACAAAGGACTCACTCTTCTGTGCCAGGACATTACCTCGGTCTGATTCTTATCTAATATTTTATTGATACAAACGTTTACATGATCCCAAAATACCTGAAGATGTATCATTTAACCATGTTATTCGAGCCAGGATGACTGCAGGGAATCGTTAAAAATCCATATTCCTACCTTAGTTTTCACCCTTTCCTCAAAGTTATCGATGAATATCTGAAGCATCAGCCACAATTCTCGTATACACGTACAATTGTACGGCGTTTTCTGCTTCAGATCCGTGGTCCAGTTCAAGGATAACTGAGAGAAGAGTAAATGAACGTTAAAACAATACGTTAGTAATAATATTGTAGGAACACTATGAATTCTTTGATCACAATCACCCTCTCGAACACTTTCAAAGCAGAATATATCAGATCATTGATGACCGTTGCAAATGTATTCTCAAACTCCTCCAATTGCATGTGTATCGAATCCTGGTACCACATAGTGCGTGCACGCATCAGCGTGACAAAGAACCATCTTAACTCTATGTGCATATGATACAAATGAAATTCTGGTTGCTTACACTAAAACAAAAATCAGACATCTTTAGTGGTCTGATACAACTTGATCTGCTTTCCTGCAAAGATGACACATTTTTTTTCAATTACCTTGTTGCCTAAATTAGAAGCTGCATAAAGCAGAGTGGAATCTGGAATACTGTGCAATGTGCTGAAAAACTGCTTGATGGAGCCGAACAAAGTGTCCACATCTTTACTGATTTCAGGTTCTATTATTTCCAATATACTGAGATCCCATCTTATACTGCGACATTTATTACGTATAACTGGATCACTCATAATTCAGTTAGATATCATTAAAATATACCATTAGAATGGCTTTTTACTTACCTGTTCATGTACGCACGAAAATATAAAATGAATTCACAGACCATCTTCCTTATGGAGAAATAATCACGACGATCGTCGCATGCTCCAGATATTGTGATAGATCTGTTGTGTCTACTTAATATCTTCAACTGCATCCTACAAAATTAATATACATGCATCTATGTAAGTTTACAGCGTAAGTTTACATCTCCTAGAAATTTTCTCATTCAAGAACCAAAGCATATTGAGAAAACTATTCTCACTCCATGCAGCTAGTGAGATGCTTGAGATTCATCACAGCTATGGCTCCAGGCATGACGCAGTTGAAGAGACTGACTTCCCTGTGGGAGAAGGAATATTCCGTCTGCAGGAACAGCGCATTTTCCACTTCCTTGTGATAAAACAGGCCGCTCCTGTTCAACTGCCAGTCGTTCACGTTGACCTTGCCCCCGCAGTTGCAGACAGCGTCGAAGTCCATCTGCAAAATCACCCAAATTTAGCGTGAACAGTGACGGATACGTGATACGACGTAAAATAACGAATTTCGCACGCTCGTCCTTACGATCGGAGCCTACGGAGAGAAGACACATCTCGATCTGATCGCCGAACCAAATCGCGCTCAGGCGATCTCGACGGGGATCCCGGACGATCCTGAGGAAGCACAAACTCACACGCTCTCCCGATCGGTGGGTAATTTTCGCGCACTTTGCCGGCATTCGCGGTGACTCGCCGTGAGCTCGAACTCGGGGAGGGATCGAGCAATCGAACGAGAGGTCGAGAGCTCGCGAGCGGAGTTTCGCGTTGTTTACAAATCTCGTTCGAGAACATGAGAGTGAAAGATGGCGGCTGAAGTGGGGGCAGAGCGCGTCAGGTAGCGGGTTAGCCACGCGCGAGCAATAAATGTATAGCGATAAAATGCGTCCACGGCGAGTCGTGTGCCCCTGAAAGTCGTCCGTGCGGGAACGACCCGTACGGCACGGTGACCTGCGCCCGACCCCGACCCGGATTTCGCCGCTCGACCGGCTACCGGCGGCCGAAAAGCGAGGTGCCATAACCGAGATCGGAGCACGGTGACTCACTCACTCACTCGTCGTCGTCAAGACACTCCAGGTGACCTGCAGTGACAGCGATGCTCCTTCAGTGAGAACGACTGAGCTCAGAACAAGTCCAAGGAAAACACGTGCCAATATGAACGTGCAAGAACTTCGTGACGAGGTATCTTGTCTCTCTCTTTTTCTTTCTTCCTTACTTACTTACGTACTTATTTACTTACTTACTTACTTACTTACTTACTTACTTACTTGCTTACTTTCTTACTTTCTTACTTTCTTTCTCCCAGTCGAAGCGAGTCCTCGACGCGCATCTCCCCCGTAGTCGGCGCACGCGAGCATTCGCTTAGGTTAGGTCAAGCCGTCGTGTGGTACTTGAACTTCGATGGCTTTCTATCTCAAGGTTTGTTCTTTCTCGAAGAACTTCCTGAACCAGAAGTTCAGTAAGTCAGAGTGGAACAAATATAGTTGGTTTCACTCTAACTTATTGCACCCCAGTATAGACCAATCTAGGAAGTTCCTCGAAAAATAACAGATCTTTAGTCGCAAGAGACTGATTTATTTTTATTTCATTTTGTTTCCTCTGTGTTTTTCTCTCTTTTTGTCTCCAGTGTACATTCATCTCTTTTTTTTTTAGTATAATGTTCCCCATGAAAAAATATAGAATAGTCTTATTTCCTCTCATGTAAAAGATGAATTTTAAATTGCCTATGTGGTCTTGCAGCCTCCTTTATTACAAGCCATATTCCTCGGGGACATGGAGGAGGTCTTTGCCTTGCTGTTGGAACAAGAGGATATCAATTGGCAAGACAAAGAGCAACGTTCCCTGTTACACGCAGCAGCATATAGGTCTATACTTCCATTAAGATAATAACAACACAACAAGAGAAATTTTTGCCTGTATTCAAGTCTTACCTTATACTTAGGGCTCCCTTAAATTCATCTTCAGACACTTTGTAGTCAATGAAATGAGTTATACAGTATCTGAAGATGAATTTAAGAAGGCCTTAAATATAAGACTTGAATACTATGAATACTAGCATTTAATTTTTTGTTTAAAACATTTATGATATCTCTATTTCAGGGGAAACACCGCTATCGTGGAGACTCTCTTGTTAAATGGCGCAGCAGTCAATAGTAAAGATAAGAAATGGCTAACCCCGCTGCACAGAGCCTGTTGCTCCGGCAATTACAATGTAGTAGATATTCTATTGAAATACAAAGCGGATGTGAATGTTCGGGATCGCAGTTGGCAGACGCCTCTTCACGTAGCAGCAGCGAACAACGCTGTGCAATGTGTAGAGCTCATATTGCCGCACGTATTAAATCTCAATCTCACGGACAGGTATGTGTGTGTGGCTATGTGCGTAATATATTTTTTGGATCTTATCGCTTATCATGCCGATCTCGCGATAAAATTGCGCAATCTGAAATTGTGGATGACTTAATAAATTAATATTGATTGAAATCATTTATTGCTGCAGAGGCGGGAGAACGTGTCTTCATCATGCCGTGTACAATGAACACCTTGAGATGACCGAGTACTTGACGCAGCTCGGTTGTGTGATAAACGCTTCCGACAAGAAGGATCGTAGGCCTCTACACTTCGCGGCGTACAGGGGACACGATGAGATAGTAAAGGTGCTGATAGCCAAAGGTGCCGACGTGGATGTGAAAGTACGAAAAATATTTTCTTCAGAATATACTTTTCCACTCTATCTCTGCCATGTTTATATATACATATATATATGTATGTATATGTATGTATGTATGTATGTACATACGTATGTATTTCTCATGTTTGTGTGTTAAAGGATCGAGATTTGTACACTCCCTTACACGCAGCGGCCGCTTCTGGTAATGTAGAGTGCATGCGCACTTTGATCAAAGCTGGCGCGGATATCGAAGCCAAGAACGTGTACGGAAATACCGCGTTGCATATCGCGTGCCTGAACGGGTTTTCTCACGCGGTCACGGAACTCATCGCTAACGGTGTTAATCTAGGTAGGTTTCCTATCGCTCCCGCTCGCGGATATTAACTGGTTTGTTCAGAAAATATAACAGCTGTACAGCCGTTGAGCGATTATATATATTATTTATATATTATATATATATATTTATAAATAAATAAATAAGTATATATATATATATATATATATTATCTCACATTTTTCACCGCTTGATGGACAGAGGCCGTCAATTATCGCGGGCAGACTGCGCTGCACGTCGCCGCTGCCAGCACACATGGTGTTCATTGTCTGGAGGTGCTGGTGCAAGCCGGGCTGAAGATAAACGTGCAATCCGAGGACGGCCGTACTCCGTTGCACATGACTGCGATTCACGGGAGATTCACGAGGTCGAAGACGCTGCTCGACGCCGGCGCTTTTCCAGACACGAGAGACAAGAATGGGAATTCGGCTATGCATGTCGCTGCCTGGTGAGTCCTCCCGGAAACAAATATATATGGAATGAGGCAATGATTATTACCACTTTAAATATCTCCGATACTACGAGAATAAGAGAAAGATTTATCGGATACTTAATGAGATATTTCATATCTTGAAAAGTATCAGGTTAAAAAGTAAAATATCTCGGAAAGTATCCACTTTTCGACGATCCATCGAACTTTTATGTGCAAAACGAACACCGGGATCGATTTATGTTAAAAAACTAAGTGATTCTGTTTAAAAGACAAGAGTAACCTTCAGATCTTTGAAGTTACTTCCATCTGGAAAAGAAAGCGTTACTTGCCATAAGACGACCGCTTTTGTACCAAGTAATTTCTGTTACATGAGTTTTTCTCCCTCACAGTTTCGAAGATATTCAAGGTGATAATGGTTATTAATGCTTCACCCTGTATATAATTACTCGTTCTCCGCTGTTGGGACTTTTTGCGGATGAAATGTGAGATATATCGAGGCCGAATGTCGGCAGGTTCGGTTACGAGTGTTTGATTACGATCCTCATAATGTGCGGCGCATCTCCGGCGGTGCGCAACGCCCAGCAACGGACGGCTCTCCACCTGAGCTGCCTGGCGGGGCACATAGAAGTAAGTCGGGAATACGTCGATGTAATTACACCGCAGCATGATGCCTTAATTCTGTGCTCTGTTGTATCGCAGGTCTGTAGAAAATTATTACCAATCGACAGGCGAATCGACACGCGAGACATAGGCGGCAGGACGGCCTTGCATTTGGCGGCGTTCAAGGTACATTAACACTCTGTTACTCTCTTCCACTCATTTTATCTCACCGATTTTGCTCACCTATCTCACTTCATCTCACTTGTCACGACGACCTCGTTCACCGTTTCCTCGTCACCGACGTCACACCTGCTCACGTCTTCGACAGGGCTCCGTCGACTGTCTGGATCTGCTGTTGTCCAGCGGCGCCAACTTCCGTCTGACCGACAACGACAACCGGTTGGCCCTGCACCACGCCGCCAGCCAAGGACACTACCCCTGCGTCTTCACTCTGGTGGGATTCGGTAGTGACTCGAACGCCCAAGATGTGAACGGGGCCACGCCGTTGCACCTGGCCGCAGCGGCGTCCAATCCTTTCGATTCTTGCGCCCAGTCAGTATTGTACACTTCCTGGTCGCGCGATCACCGCGTTATCTGTAGGATTGATCGTAATTATCATTGGGTCAGGTCGTACAGATGTGTACAGTACCTGCTGCAGCACCGAGCAGACCCGCGTTTGTGCGATAAACGCGGCTTCACTGCGATCCACTACGCGGTGGCGGGCGGCAACCAGCCGGCGTTGGAGGCCCTCTTGCACGCGTCCTCGACGACGTCGACGACGTCGACGACTACGTCCTCATCGACGGGAAACGCACCCGCCTCCCACGGTTCCTTCTCGTTCGAGCAGGAAGCGTCTTCGCCGGCGCTCACTCCGGTACATCTCGCGGTACGCATCTCGCTCTTCTAATCCTGTCCGAAGAATCGAGGACGAGGCGTTGTTTAATCAGCGAAGTGTCTTCTCAGGCATATCACGGTCACAGCGAAATCCTGAAGTTGCTACTGCCGTTGTTTCCCAATACGAACATTAAGGAGGACAGCGGTAAAACCCCGTTGGACCTGGCCTCTTACAAAGGACACAAGCAGTGCATCGAGCTCCTGCTGCGATTCAGCGCTTTGGTGTCGGTTCAAGTAAGACGGATATGGCTTTCTTGATTTCGAATGTAATAGCAGGTCTGGAAAAGTTTCTGAACCAAAGAGAGGTCCGTAAGATCTTCAGAACCGGTTTGCAAGAACATAAACCTGCTGCTGTTCCAGCGACATATTATTCTTTAATTTTGTTTGGGAGGACATGTTTAACATGCGATAACACGTACCGAATTAGTTTTCGGTTAGAAATGTGTGCGGTAAAAAATGCTGTTAATTTATTAATAGTAAGTAATTAATAGTAAGTATCGATTAATAGTAACGCGTTGCCTCCTGAGTTCCAGTAACGGCAGTGTTAGATGTTTAGTATCTACATTCATGATGCGCTTTCAGGACTCCGTTACGAAACGCACACCGGTGCATTGCGCCGCCGCGGCCGGTCACTCCGACTGCCTGGCTCTGCTCTTGGAGAACACGGACGATCCCCGGGTGGTGAATCGTTATGACGCGAAGCAACGCACGGCCCTCACACTGGCGGTCGCGAACAGCAATCCGGAGTGCGCGATCTTGCTGCTGAAGCACAAGGCCGACTGCAATCTGCCGGATATCAATAAGCACACTCCGCTGTTCCGGGCGGTGGTGAACGAGCGCGATCATCAGCTGGTGAAGCTGCTGCTGAAACACGGCGCCCACGTAGCGGTGCAAGATGCGAACGGTAAAACGCCGTTACACTTGGCGGCGGCCTGCGGAAGGTGAGAGAGAGAGAGAGAGAGAAAGATGTGAAGAACCGCAGAGGGTTGAAATTTTTCTAATCAGGGGAAAAAATCATACTTACATTAGAAAAAAGGGCAATTTGTAGTGAGAAAGCCAACTTGCATAATTACATTACTGGAAAGAAGCAACTTGTAACTTGCTTACTACTTATAACTTATGCTGTATAAATAATACGTTTTTCCCATGTAAAATCTCTTATCCGGAGTCCCTTTGCAGACTGAACGCTCTAGCGGCTCTGGTGAAAGCGGACCCGACCGCGGCCACGTTGAAGGACGACCAAGGATGCACGGTGCTGCATTGGGCCTGCTACAACGGCAACTCGAACTGCGTGGAGTACCTCTTGGACCAGAACGTGTTCGACTCCTTGGAAGGCGAGTGATTTTCCTCTCCCGTTGGGAGCCCGCTCACCCGAGCGGCATCGAGTCGGATGACGCGTTTTAGAGCCTTCGCTCTGTCTGTTCGCAGGTAACCCGTTCTCCGCCGTGCACTGCGCCGTCTACCAGGGCTCCGCGCACTGTTTGGACCTGCTGATCAACAAGTTCGGCGGTAAGGCGGTGGCAGCGCCGAGGGACACGCTGGGCGGCCGATTGCCGTTACACGTCGCGGCCAGCGCCGGCTCGGTCGAGTGCGCTCGCCTGATCCTCAGCTCGGTCGGCCCGGAATTAGCCGGACTGGAGACGCCCGATTACTCCGGCCGGACGCCGCTGCTTTGTGCGGCCGTCACCGGCCAATGCAACGTCATCGGTAATACGATCGCACCCTTACAGTTAACAAAGTGAGCTTTACTATTACTGTCCCCGCTGGCGCTCCGGTATTAACGTGATGACTCACCTTACCGATAGAATTACTACTCGAGTGGAAAGCCAATGTACGTGCTGTCGATTCCAGTAAAAATACAGCCTTGCACTTAGCATGTCAGAGGCGTCATTCAGCCGCGGCGTCGTTACTCTTAAACTGGATCGACTCGCTCGGCGCTGCCGCCACCGCCGTCGCCGCCGACGGCAATGCGCAGTCGGCGCAGCAGCCGCAACAGCAACAACAGCAGCAGCAGCAGCGAGTGGCGGTCATCAATATGACCAACAAGCAACAGAGAACCCCGCTGCATCTGGCGGCGAGAAACGGCCTCGTCACGGTGAGTTTTAATCTAGCAACATCGAGCCACCCTCGGGACAGGGTTGGGAAGGTTACTTCTGAACAGTGACTCGGCGTTACACCAGAATTGTAATTACGTTACCGTCCTCGCCATTGATGGAGGAAAAATAACATCATTACCGAAATCACTGAATAACAATAATTTGTGACAGTAAATCTGCATCTACAAATAAGCCTTTTTCTAGCCTTTCGTTCTAAAAGCAGTAAATCGCAACGCAATTTCTAGCAAAAACGTTCCCAACGCCGTCAGACGTCGCAATTTCCAAGATTTAAGCGTTATTGCAATTTTTGGCGGTATGGAAAACCTCGTTTTTATCGGAAATTATATCTTATAGTATGCTTCGAGCAAAACATTAAAGGGCCGTTCACAATAGCCGTAAAATATGCAGTAAGACATGAGCAGTAAGCTAATTGACTGATTGGATTCTTACAGGCCAAGAATAGTCGACTTTGATTGGTCGATTTGCTTACTGCTTACATCTTACTGCATATTTTACAACTATTGTAGACGGTCTTTAAAGGATTGCTGTACTTATCGTAAATCTGGACTAACGGCGTTTCAGTAATGCGTTAACAAGTTACTTCCCGACTCTGCGTCTCGAATACGTTGCGAATGTAAATAAACCGCCGACTTTTCCGCAAGAAATAGTCAATTGGTGTTGTCTTCGTCTAGATCACGCGCCGGTTGCTGCAATTGGGCGCGAGTGTCGTGGCCGTGGACGCCGAAGGACTCACTCCTGCGTTGGCCTGCGCCCCGAACCCGGCGGTGGCCAGGTGTTTGGCTACTATTCTCGCGGCACACGGTACGAGAAACACTTGTCAATCTCATTTCCCTCCTTTCCTTCCTCTCTTTTTCGCCTCAGTTTGGATTTTTCGTTTTCTTGTTTTACTTTTAATTTCCGCTTAACTAAGACACCGGATATATTTGGGAGTTTCGGTTAATTTGAAAGGATTGTTTTGGCTGAAAAACGTATTTATTAAAAAAAAAAATCATACATCGAACGCCAGCCCTCAAAATTAACCAAGACACCTAAAAGCTGCCCTGTTGTTTTTGTACATTACAAGCTCGAGAGGTTTTACTGCAGAGTGCAAATACACTGCATGTATATCCGTCCATCCATTTCTCTTCCTATCGACGCGACACTATAACGCGAGACTCCAGCAGGTCAGAACTGGGAAGCGGCGCAGCACTCGCCGTCGATCCAACAGACGTCCGAGGTGTATCTGAACGGGCGCGGCGGCGTCGACTCGCAGCACAGCTCCGACTCGGAGTTTTACTGACAGCAAGCCTCGTCACGCTTAGACCTCCAGGCGTTCCCGAACCTGAACGTCGACTCTGCGCACGGCAACGTCGACGCCAGGCTGATCTGGACGAGCTGCTGGCTCTTCTCCGTTTTAGCGTAGATTAAATTACAAAAGTCGCTCCGAAAGGACCGCCAAGGAGATGGAAGAAACGGCGAGCCAAGCGAGATCGCGCGAACGCACGGATATCGGCCGACTCTCTCGCAGTGTGACTAACCTCACAAATAGTAATCGTGACAATACGAGTGTCCACACTATCGAGAATTCGATAGAGAGTTGCACTAACCGACTGCCAAGAGGGATACGGATTTATGTATGTGTATGTGCGTATGTGTGTGTACATATACGTGTATGAATGCGCGTACATATATAGTCAGTGGGAGAAAAGTTACGACGGTTTCTCTTCAACGATTTTCCCGACGCATTCGTATCCATTGAGTGAACTTATTCCTTGGTAATCCTCGGAACACGAATTCTCTTACCGGCTGCCTTCTGAAGTTCGTCGGCGTAAAAGCGCTGCGATTCCCCCCCCCCCCCCCCCCNCCATGACTCCGTACACAAACCTGCGTAATAATTTTAACACAGCGGTGCAGTTAGGTTATTAATATTTTTTAATCGCACGTGTTCCTTTCCTGGACACTAACGTGAAACGATCGCAGGTTACCGCTTTGACACGTTGTTAACGCTTCTTTGCTTGATAAATAAATAAGCGATAAATCGATAATACGTACGATTGCAAGATTCTAATTTAATTTGACTGCATTGCATATTGAGATTATGATTATTATTACACCGGTCTGTGTACACTTGGTGTCAATATGGTGTCAATATGGTTTCAATACTTTTTTCTCGATGCAGTGTGGAAAGCAGCTGACAATGCAATGAGGAAACTTAACTTCTGGTTGTTAATAAAAAGCAAATTCTCTCTCATTGGTGAGCGATCGTCAGCTATATTCCAAACTGCATTGAGGAAAGAGCAGTCGTGTTGAAACCAAGCGTGCGAACGTCTGAGTGCATAATCCATCGCTTAACAGACCGATAGATTAAGCGAATGTGTGTGTGTGAGAGAGCGTATATTTAAGAGACGAGCGAGTCGTGCGACACTCAGAGTCATCCAGCGTTTTGTTTGTGCGATTACGTGAGACGACGTGCGCGCGGCAATTACATCGTTTCGTTAACCACGCTATATGACATTCGTGAGAGAGAGAGAGAGAGAGAGAGGTAGGAGAAAAAGCGAATATCATTACAATTTGCATTGCGAGGTCGGAATTAGAACGTAAACCGTGCAGTACTACGATTCAAGCGTAGTCTCCAATGGGCAGTAAGAGTATGTTCATAAAAAGCAAGAATAAGAAATTGACCAATCGTATTCGAATGTAAGAAGAATAATAATCGACTGTGATTGGTCAATTTTTTACTCTTGCTTCTTATAAACATACTCCCACTGCCCATTGTAGACCACGCTTTACGTTCCAGCACGCCGTGCGATAGAGCAGCACGTTGCATCCACTCCGGAGAGCACGTCGTACACAATTTTCCTGTTATACGCTGTCGCGAAGTGTGTCCTTGATTAGAAAGAGAGTACAAAATTTCCGCCATTAGCGCTTAACTGTATTCCTCTTGGATATTATCGCGGTATCCGGTATATTGAGATCCGTTTATTTTTCACTCGAGGCCGCGATGTATCGGGGATGCGCGATATATATTTTTCTCTCCTCTTATACACGTAATATATCTTATTCGTACGTACATACATACATACATACATACATACATACATACATACATACATACATATATCCCTTGCATATATACAAGTATAGCCGAGAACTTGCGGGAGAGAGAGAGAGAGAGAGACGTTCGTAGCAGTGGCTCGCGCGCAGTTTCCGCTCTCTCGCATAGCCTGTATCTTCTAAATTAATTCGCAATTAACACACACATGCATCGCCTCCTCTTTTCCGTATTTCTCGGTAGCGACGGAAACGGTTCGCCCTTCGTGCAGTTCCCCCCTTCCTTTTTCGTTCTTCTCTCTAAAGGGTGTAATACGCGCGTAGTCGAGTTCCCGAGCGCGACTAGCCGGGTCGAGCAGATCACGAGGAATAATCATAGCCGAAGCTAACCTCGCGTTAGTCGTATAGTCAGCGGGGCAATAAGTCGTCGGATGCAATAAAGAGATCGGTCGGTCGGCCGGTATGTTCGACGATAGCAATTTATATATATATCTATATATAAATTGCTAATTATATATTAGTGAACCTTAGCGTATGACAGGCGGCGAGCGGAGGGTGTGATCTTCTAATCAAAAGCGCGCGATTCGCCCCTCCTCCCCCTCCTCGCGACAGGCAATTAGATGTGGTGCGGATGTAACGACGACGACGTACAGAGGACGATGCTCAACACACGTTGCATTTACTAATCTAGGTTGATTCTCTAATTAGTTTAGACGGATGTCTTCCATCTTCAGCAGCGACATTCTCAGTTGCTAGCGCGTCGGCTGATTAACGCTAACAATGTTGTCGATTGTTCTCTTGCCTGCGTTAGGAAAGAGCCTCCTCCAGCTCCGTGCGAGGTCGTGCGAGAGCGTTTCTGGATTCTGCAATTCTGCCTTCTCGCGTTCCTACGCGCTTGGATGATTGATTTGAATCACCCGTGTTCTCGCGATCTCACGAGGACCTCGCGATTTGGTTCGCCGGATATACGGGAGGCAGAGAGGAAGAGAGAGAGAGAGAGAGAAGGAAAGAGAGCGTAGAACGCTGCGGGAAAATGCCGAGAAAGTAAGAATATTCAATTATTTCGCGACATATATCACACGCGTTGTAAATATCGGGAAACGGACCGAGACTCCCCTTGGATTTTGTACATAAAATCGGGCGACGAGACGAGAGGAGAAGAGAAATGAGTATTTAGCTATTTTCTTAGACATTTGTAGCGAAGCCTAAACTGCCTGACTGTAATCGTACGTCGAATGAGAGAATATAGAGCTTGTAGGTAGGTGTAAGGTAACACACACACACACAGACACAGACACACACAGCCGATCGAGGAATTGAATCGGAATGTCTCGTCACGTCTACCGGAGATTCCCTCCTCACCTTGCGTTATCTCCATTTCGAAGAAGCGGTCTTGACACTTTGTCTCGTCTATCGTTTTTGTACTTACAGGTTTCTTCTCACTCGATATATGATGATGATGATGATGATTTCTGCATTTAATAGGCTGTAAGCGCGTAATCATATTTCAACGACGTTATACATATATACAATATACACTATACACAATAATACACACACACGTGCGCGTGCGATTCTTTTCAATCGCCGATGTCACAAACGACACGGCAGAGAGAATGAAAGAGGCGAATGAAAAACGACTCATCGGGACAACCGTGTGATTCTGTTGTACATATATTAATTCTAATCATCGCTTAAACGTAAGCACGCGACACTTACACGATCGATGAAGTTGTTGTTGACAAACACCGGGGGAGGACCGATCGCGATCTCTCCCGTTTGTACATGATTTTATACCTGGACGACCGTTCAACCGCGATACGACGGAAAACTACAAGAACCGGACATACACATACACGCATACATACGTACACCTCACACGTGCCGTGCGTCATACCGTTCTCTTTTTCAGACACGCGAAATAAATCGCCCCCCTCCCCCCCCCCCTTCCCTTCTCCATCGTTGTACATACGTAATGTGGGAAAAAGAATATTTTTTCTATACTCTTTCCTTGCGCGCGTATGATGGATATTATGCGAAGTGTAATACCGCATTACATGAAAGTTATATCATAATTTAAGGGCTTCTGCCGATATCATACATTGTATCGCGAACATTTGTAATCAATATACGTCGTTATGTTTTATTTTCACACGTTGTTCACAGTGATTTTCCTTCTCCTTTTCTTTTCTCATCTCCCCCCTCTCTCTCTCTCTCTCTCTCTCTCTCTCTCTTTGAAATTGAACCTCCCTTATACGTTAAAGTGAAGTATAATCAGTCGCACATTTCCTTTAATTAAATTTAATTTCCCTCTTGTCTCAAGTCTTATTAATCAAAGCCTATTAATAGTTACTTGAAACTTCCCTGATGGAAATATTTTGCTGAAAATATTATGAAATCGATGAGGAGTGAAGTGAAAGTTATTGAAAAATTAATGAATGCAATGTAGAAATGAATCGTAGTTTTCCTTATGAAATCCAATGTAATACTGCGAAATGTAAGGAAAGTTAAAGTATACTGTTGAAAAGTAATAATATAATTTTGAAATATTAGATATCACACATAAAATTTACCGATTATAACTGGAAGCTGACTTTTCAATGAAGAATTGCTGAAGTATCAATTAAATTTTTCACTAAAATATTCTTTTTACGAAATGATAATGAAATATGGTCAATTGAGGAAGATCTCCAAATACATTTCAGCAAATTTTCATTGGATTGTCAGTAAAATATTTTCACGCACAAAATGTACAAAATGGGTAAAAGAAATGAATAATAACGTGAAATTTCATTCTCTGTTTCTACTCTGTTTCTATTATCTAGATGAAAAAATACAATAAAGTTTTTACTGACCGACTTTAAATAATTGCAGTAGCAAAAGACTTTGAAAAACTTTTTGACGTTCTGAAAATCTACCTTGACGTTAGACGATTAATTGAAGAATTCAAATCCGAGTCTCACGTGAGACAAGTATCAAAATAAGGGTCTTAGCGGAATGGCTGAGTATGGTCTTAGTAAAATGACTGATTTATAATTTTAAGACAATATTTAATGTCCTAAATCTTGATCTTATTAATTATCAATTTCTTTTTTTCTATTATAATGGTTTGTCACCAATCATAAAAAATCACTTTTTGCTCTAAGACTCGAAACATAAGACAGTCGTTATAATTTCAAGGCAATGTTCTATGCCCCGTATAAATCTTTATCTGAATTATCAATTTTTCATCTATTTTACTACACACCGATTTGTCGTTCTTTACCACTAGAACAACTTTTTCATTCAAGACGCTCACGAAATAGTCATTGCGCATTACCTGAGACCTCTCAGATGTGAAGCGTCCTGAACTAACAACAAAAAAGTCGACCATTCTGCTACGGCCCCGACGATCACCGGCGCACGCAAGGCTCAACGCGACGATTAATTACAATCACAAATCAAATTCGCGCGGAGAACGGAGAGGCGCGCGAGCGACGGTCTTTCTTTCTCGGGCGCATCGTTCGCAGTCGACGGCGCGCGGCCGAATGGAAAGTAAACGTCTACGCCATCGCGATCGGAAGACTCGAAATTGACGTCTCGTGAACAGGCGAGGATACCGGGCGAGAAGTTCTCTCACGGGCCGGCCGCCGATGACCGCTCGATGGTAGACGCGCGTGAAAGGGTCGAAGAGCCTGGAGGCGCGAGGTCGAGGTTAGGTTGACGCGAGCACGCGATCGACGGAATTCCCGGCATCAAACCGATAACGGAAAGGGTCGAATTTCGTGTTTTGCGATTCGGCCAGCAGAAGTGGCGAGGAGTTCTCCCGGCCCGGTCGGGGCCTACGGTCTCGAAACGACGGAAATTCACGAGAAATGGCGACCGTCGATTCGGAGAGCAGGCGAACGCGAAGGTGGAGGCCTCGACGGCGTAATTGATGGCTCTTGTCGAGGGAAAATCCCTACACCGACAGCAGGAGAGCATGCGCGAGCCAGCCAGCCCCCCGCGCAAGAGAGAGAAAGAGAGAGTCCGAGGGGATGACGGGGACCGTTCTCGACCGGCCGAGCGAAACGACGAAAATTCGACGAGTTTGGTGGGTGAGTTACAGGGAGAACATGTCGGGCGAGCTGGTGGCAGCGTCGCGTTCGGTCCGCACGGCGGAAATTCCCGAGCAGCGACGATCTGGCAGCAGGATCGCAGGAGAGCGAGTAGGTGGTATCGCAGCTCGGCCGGAGCGACGGAAATTCCCGAGAGCCGACGGTCCGGTATCGGGAGGGCAGGAGAAGCGAGCTGGTGGCGCGGATCCCCCGGCGAAACGACGGAAATTCACGAGTCCCGACGGACAGGTGTCGGGAGAGCAGACGGCTGTGCAAGTAGTCGGTCGCATAGAAGATGATTGTGTACACTTATCCACGGCGTGCGCCGGAGAATGAAAAGGCTTTGAAATTCATGTGTAGGTGACAGGAGAACAGGAACGTCCAGCAGGTGAGAGTCGGTACTCCGGAGGAGGTGTGTCGTTGTTGATTCATGAGGAATTTCGACACACGGACGTGCGCACACGGGCTCGACGTTATTCACGGATACGAGTGTGGCTTCAGAAGGCAGCTGGGCATCGGCACGGTCGGCTGACGGTAACGCGCTTTGGTATCAGGCGCTCATGACCGGCGGAGAGGTGTGGTCGGCTTTTGTGACGTTGGCGCGCGGGAAGTTTCAACGGAGATGAAATTTCACCCCGGGAAAAAATGTCGATACGTGCACGAATTCTCTGTCTCTACGTGGCACTATGCGTAATCAAATGCGAAATATGATCTATATGTTCCACGTCTGAAAAGTGTTGTTACATGGATGTAATTGGTGTAAATGCTTATGTTTAATGGCCGCCCACGATGTAAACACTTGATTGAATCAAACGACTTTTTCCGTTTTCCGTTCGACAGCGTTTTTGTTTCGATATGTTTAATTGTGTATGTGGCCATGTAGAGGCAAAATTTATATATAAATTATATATAGTTATGTATAATTATATGTAATTTTATATGATTATACAAATTATATAAATTTTTTTCCCCGGTCATGCAGAAGTTTTAGTCGTAACCATAAGAGGTTGTAAGTTTCATAGTTATGACTAAAAATTTGTTACATGCAAAAGCTTAAAAATGTTTGTCACGTTGGAATTTTACGATTAATTTTGTGGTCAATCAATAGAGAAGCAGTTCTAAGTCGTTGACCAATGAGAAATCACTAGAAAGAGGATTCCATGTCCCCATGATGACAATACTATTAAGACCCGGTTTTTTCATTTTCTAGTTAACATGTGGTTCAAACTTAAATTGAGGGTTTTGTAGTGGTAACTTTAAAAATTTAATAATTAACCATCAATAGAAAAATGTAATTTTTACATTATTATCAGTTTAAGTCTAAACAACACGTTAACCGGAAAATGAAAAACCAGGTCTGAATGAAGGAAAGAACATCAGATTTTATGACTACGGCTTTACGGTCATGATTAAAACTTTTTCACGTGTCAAGGCCTTAAATGTCCGGGATATACAATGTGTGTGAAGACATGTTTCTTAATAAAAAATAAAACCTCTTCACTCGGCGATTCGTTATGCACAATACAATATAAATATCACGCGATACATTTACAAACAATACTGAACGTATTATTCATCGAGGTGCGTAACAAGATATCACGCGCGTATAATCGATATTTACAAATATATTGTATGAAATATTTACAAAAACTCTTCTCTCCATCTATTCGTGAGAACGTGTAGTTACAAGTAAGTTTGTAACGCTGAAATAATTATGGTAAGTAAAGGTGTTCTCGCGTGTGACACTGCTAAAAATATACGTCGTTGCGCGTAATATAAACAATTATAAAAAAAATCTTACGTACATCTCTACGTTCGAGACCGCGTCGTTAGGAATGTCCGTAATACTGAAGGAACATTTGGCGATGGTAAACGCGAAGCAGTACATTTATAATCGATTCTAATTACAATCACGGGTCAAACGGAGCTCCGGCTCCTGTAGATTATATAAAATAAATAAATAAGCTTATTCGAGCAGTAATATCGCAAATTCACGTGCGAAAATCGTGATCACTGTTCTATCGATTTCGCCTAATTCGAGCTTCTCCCGGAAACTTTCTATTAAAGGCACACACGCTCGAGCGCGATATTGTTTATAACACACTGATCAGTACTGGGTTGTTTCTCAGAGCTTTTCACACCCTTCTCGAGATTCTCCGGCGACAATTCCAGGCAAAAGTTGTCGTAGGCATACGCGTTCGCGACGATATTCGATTGCTTCTCCTCGGAGATCGACACGAATCGCTGGAGGGTGATGTTGGGCTGCGACCACACGTTGGAGAAGATCTTGCCGGTGTCCGATTTGTTATTGCAGGACTTGTTGGCGAACTTCATCTCGATGTCGTCCAGACTGCGACCCCGAGTCTCCGGTAATATCGTCAGAGCGAAAGTAGCGCCGAGTAGACCGGCCGTGGCGAATATCCACATCGTAAACTCCAAACCGAGGGTTGTGCTTAGGTCCGGATACGTCTTAATCGTGACGAACGTCAGTATCTGCACGATGCTGGTCGTCAAACCGCCCAGACTTCCCCGGAACCTTAGCGGATACAGCTCCGAGGTCATCACCCAAGGTAGCGTAAGGAAGCCGATCATAGACGCGCCCACGTGAGTCCCGATGCACAGTAAAGGCACCCACGACGGAAGGACGAACCTGAAAAATCGGAGGAAATCGTATTGACCGGCTAGAGATCTCTCTCAAAGGATGACCGACTTCATCAGTGCCGAACGGGTCGGCTTGTCGTTAATCAGATGGACAGAAAAATGAAACAAAGGTCTTATCTTTAGGAATGAAATAGAAAAGTGCTGGGAAATGAAACAAATTAATCGGATCAAACGGAAGCGGAGATGAGAAATACGATGAAGAAGAGAACTGATGATAGGAATAAAAATCCGGCGTAAAAGAAGTGAAAATCGAGTGTTGGAAGAATCCAGACGCGAACCTGGAGGAAAGGGCGACTCCCGTAGCCGCGATGGCCATTCCGGACCCGCTGACGAATGCCAAGGTCTTCCTGCCGATGTTGTTGGCCAGCCCGGCGCCGAGAATCGACGCGAACAGCCTGATGACACCCACGCCGACGCTGGCCGTGTACTCGTTGATGTCTATACCGATGTCCTTGAGCACGTTCACGGCGTAAAAGAGGATCACGTAAATGCCCGACAGCTGTTGGAGAGCGAAGAAGACGAGGAGTATCAGGAACGGTTTCCACACGTTCGGCTTGTGCAGCGCACGCAGCAAGCTCTCCTTTTTCTCCTTCCGTTTTTGCTGCGCCTCACAGAGTTCCTGATACTCTTTATCGGTGTTCAATCCGGGACCACGTAGCCACAGAAGGGCCTCCTTCGCCTCGTCCGTGCGGCCCCTCGCTGCCAGCCAGACTGGAGTTTCCGGCAGCATTCTGCGAAAGAATAATCATAGGAGGAGCAATTTTTTATTAGAAATATTCGAGTTATGAAAGTTTCTAAGTTTCCCGTCAGTCATTTGAAGGCAAATCACCGTGAGGAAATTTAATTAATATTATGACTCTAATGATGTATAATCAAACGATGAGAAAGGTGTATCATAATATTAACGGACAAGCAAGAATCAGACGCCGATGTATAAGCGATCAATTTAAATACCAAAATTAATTTAATAGTACTTTGTACAAAAATTAAGAAAAGTTGTACGAGAACCACAGACAAAAGTAAGTAAGTCGAACGTTTCGGATTTTAATTAGGGTTATTTTCAGCGATTAAAAAGAAAAGTTTAATTACCGAGTTAACGCGAGCGACAGGATCGCGGGTCCGATGCTGATGGCGGCCGTCCTCTGCCACGTGGTGACAGCACCCAGGGTGTACACCATCAGCACGCCCAATGAGACTAGAACCGGGCCGCAGCTCGCGAGCCAAGCTCTCTGATCCGATGCTGCCGCCTGAAAAATAAAAGAAATCAATATATAGACGCGTCGAGAAGCGAACATTATCTCGCCACAAATCATGATTTTCGGCACCAATTATATTTTTTATATTATTTTAACAAGAAAAATAATAGCAATACGCATGTAAAGTTTCAGTAAAGTGATAATCATTACAAAAAATAGGTGATTGTAATTATTTCCTTATGCAATATTGCACAAGTACAAAAAGTATGTTTTTTCCCAACGTTTAAGGTCTGCGAATTGTATCACGGATAAAAAAAATGGTCACTTTCTTTCCTCGATATTTCTGATAATTCATGAATTTGACGTCATAATCGCATCCTTTAGTTCCTTCCGCTGTATCGGCACGTACCTCGCTGACGTAAAGGTAAAGTCCGTTGGCCATTCCCGTGCCGATGCCGCTGACGAATCTGCCGGCGTACAGCATCGACACGTTCCTCGATAGAGCGATCAGCAGCCAGCCGGCGGCGTGCGGCAGTGTGGCCAGAGCGATCGCGGACCTACGGCCGAAACACTCGGCGCAGAGCCCGGCGACGAGGGCGCCGAGAGGATTCGATACGACGCCAAGGGAGGCGATCCAGGAGGCCTGCGACTGGTCGGCGAAGTTGGACTCGAAAAGCTTCGGCAGCAGGATCGCGCTGTACCCCTGCGACAGTCCCACGGAAATCTGCCCGGTGTGCGCCGCCAAACCCGCGAACACCTGCGAACGTCGGATAATCTAATCGAAATGTTCATCCACGATTCGACGACGATTTTCTCCTCTGTATGTTACTGTAAATGATCGTTGCTGTTAAGTTATATTATTATTGCTGCAAGTTATCGTTACTCTATGTTAACTGTAAATCACCGTTGCTCTGTGTTACTGGAAGTCACTGTTATTGTAAGTTACTATTTCTTACTATAAATTACTATTGCTGTAAGTTACCCTTATCGTTACCATAAGTTATTGTTATTATATTTATAAATAATTGCAAACGCTATATGCGATATCTCTTATCACACGCGGACAAGAAAGGTATTATTATTATTATTATTATTATTATTTCAAGAGTGTTGAAAGAGGTTACTTTTCAGAAGTCATTTGTTGTCGTTCATTACTTGTTGAGAAAAGAAGCTCGTTACCGTTGCTAACGAGGAAGGATCACGGGCCGTTACCGGGTGGTTTCACAAGGAAAGTAACTTATAACGACAGTAAGTGATTCGTTCTACGACGTAGGATATTTTTTTGCACGGTCGCGCGGAAAATCGAGCCGGCGCGAAAGGAGGCGAAAGGAGACGCGGAATGCCATTACGGTCGTGCGCCAACTTCAAAAATCCTGCAGCGAACTAACGAAGGACGAGGATCGAGAGAAGAAGAAGAAGGCCGAGATCTGCCTCCGTCGGTTTATCCATTTATTTATTTGATCGTCTCCCCTTCTTCGGCCTCGATCACTCGACGAGGTCTGTTCGCTCGCTTCGGCCGAGCGATGATCGCGATCCCACGGCGAGCATTTAGCGGATCCACGGCGACGGAATCGACGAGAAGCAGGAAACGAAACTTCCCTCTTGTGCCTCCTTTCTCTCTCTTTCTCTCTCTCTCTCTCTATTTCTCTTTCTTTTCATTCTCGCTTCTTCATCATCGCACCGCTGTCGTATTTCTATTGTATATTATTATCTTATTTCTCGTGTTATTACACGGCCTTCGACGTTCCGCGCGTTTTATTGTGTAATCCGGAGGAGACTCTTCCTCGTGCCTTCGATCGCCGACGACGACGACGTTCATTGACGTTTTATCGACGGCACGGGGAATTTCAACAAAAACGTCGCGTGCCGCCGCGCGCGTTCCGCTTACTCGACTCAATTAAACACTCGGACGGACGGACGGAGTGTTTTTCTTCGCGACGCTTAGCATGAATTATTTCATATTGCCCGGTTATCGACGATTATTAGCCGCACGCACGACGTGGTGGACGGAGAGATATTCTGAGACGAGGTGCGAACGTGCCGGAATTAATCACGGAACAATGCAGTCGCACTTTTTAACGCGAAGCCGATAATTGCGACGCAAAAACGCCGAGGCGGAATTAAATGCCTTACACCTTTCTTGTCGCCGGAGCGGAGCAGCTTCCACCAGAGCCTCATTTGGGTGATCATCGTGCAGCTCGAAACGCTCGGCCGGGCAACTGTAAAAACGAACAGGACGATTAAATGGCGGCGAATAATAACATTACGTAAAGATCGCGCCGGTGAACGAATAATGCGGACGCGTTTTTTTCCGTGTTTACTCGCGAATCGCTCGGTGCGCGCCCCGAAATTCCCGGAGCGGAGTCTCACGCAGAACGAGCGGGCGTTAAAAAAATTCTAAATTAATTATTATTGTCAACAGTTTAAACGATTTATCACGTTAATATTATTGTTAATTTATAATTTATTTTTGAATGTAATGTCGACTGGATATCCTTCTTTTGTATTGTTATTAATATTAGGCCTATTTTTGTATGTACAGAGTGTCCCAAATTAACAGAGACAAACTTCGTGAGAGTGCAGAATGGGTTGGGGTGAACAAAAAAGTATCATTTTGCAAATAACACGCAACATTTCGAGTTATTATTTATTGAAAATGACCATGTATAGAGGCTTCTTTAATTGATAATTGAAAAATTTGTGTGTTGGCAAAATGGCAGCACGGAAAAAAGTTTGGTTGTATTACCCAGAAAGAGGGAACAACCGGATGCATTTTGCTCGATTACGAATTACGAAAATATTCACTCGATGATTCAGAATGGAGAATTCACTCCACATGAATGGGAAGAGTCATTCGGATTCGAATGACTCGGCGGTCGCTTTGTTTCTCGAGCGGAACTTTAATCGAGGAAATTTAAATAGAATCGTAAAGACCGTCGTCGCTCCGCCGTTACGCGTTTCACATGTTAGGTTACGCTCGGAAACACCACGCTGAGGGTAAAGTGGCATTTAATTGACCAATCAGGATCAAAAAGAATTCAGATTTCTTCATCGTGATTAGTCAATTGAACGGCCGCTCTGTGTGTATTCCACGTAACGTAGCCTTGCCGTTTCGAAATCACCGAATTCCGAATTTAACGCGGATCTTCTAATTATTTCTAATTATACTTAATTGTTCATTCAAGTACTGGTCCACTTTCCGATCTCACGGAAAGAAACGGCGAGTTCGTTGCGCCGGATTCGCTTCCGGCATGACGCGTTTTCTCTCGAATAACAACGCGAGCGAGCGGCCGTTTTGTTTGTTTGTTGAGAAAGAAGGAAAAAATTCCACGAGCGATTTCGCGCTCGATGGAAAGATTTTGCTGAATACACACATACGCGCGCACACGTGCACAGATAATCGCGTGATTCCGAACCGTACGACGAAAAGCGTTCATTTACCTCGACGCGTCGATTATCTCTTTCGTAAGGATAATAGTCCCTCCTCCCCTCCCTCTACCCCCTCCGTAAACGAAGGATCACGTGATGAAAACGCCGAGAGATTTCCTCGAATTAATTAATTCTGTATCATTCGCCCCTATTCGACGGGTAAATTAGCATTTAATTGATTAATCAGGACAAAAAGAGCCAAGATTTTTTTATCGTGATTGGTTAATTAATGATGTTTTACCTGTCGAATAGAGTTTTTGGGACGCATTCTTCGTGAAATGCGAACTTCGTGCGATCTTAACAAATTTCGAATAACAAGATTCATGTAGTCACACATATAATAAGGTGAGTTAAACTCAGGTGCGACAGAAAATAACAATGACGTCAAAACCCGAGTCGAAATTTTGGTCCTACATTAAGTAGTACTCTACTTAGTTTTATATTAAGTCTTCAGGTTGAGAAGAATAATGGAAATAATTTCCCATTTATAGCATCAAAGGGAGTACAATATACGACCTATAAAGATTTAATGTAGGATTGAAATTTCGACTCGGGAATGATGTTAAAACTACGTCAAAACGATGTCAAGATAACGGGAAAATGATTATAAAACTGATTTTTCCATCATTTCTTCATCATTTGGACGTCATTTTCACGTCATCTTCCTTTTCTGTTCTATCTGGGGATCCGGCCGACAAGAGCATTTTGTAGTTTCTCTAACTAATTCCTTCGATCAGATACTTTTTCCTTCCACAATAAGACCGAGAATGTTTAAAAATAAAACAAATATCGCGAAATATGTCAAATACGATCCGATTCTTGATTCATTTTTAGTATTCAGCCGTTATTCGAGGGTTAATTTCCTCACCATCCGCTAACGTTCGGATTCGCGGACGAGTTTCCGGCGAAGCCGAAGTTTCTTCTCGGCTGGAGAATTCGCGATTCGTGAAGATTCGGAAATCTGGAATCGCGGAAGAGAATTTTTCCCTCACATGCATCACCGCATATCGCCGCGTTCGCGATCTCGTGCACGACGAGACGTTCAAATTGAGTAATGATCGCGCGCATTAAACGGTCGTTTCACGACGCTTTGCCGCTCGGAATGTTTAAGGAACTCGGCGGCTCGAGTAACGTCTCGTGAGTCACGAGACCGCCGGCGACTCATTATCGCCGTGAGATTTCTCTCCCCTTCTCTCTCTCTCTCTCCTCTCTTTTTCTCCTTCTTTCAATTGCTTTCACACGTTTAACGCGATTTAACGCATTAGCGCGGCGTGAAAATTAGAGTTCAATCTTATCTCGTCCTTATATCGCGCGTGCGCGCCTGCATTCATTCATTCACCACAAGGTATTGCCTCGCGCAATTTCACCGCGTGTATTTCGCCTCGGCTCGCCTCGCGTTTATTCGATAAGATCGATGCCGATTAATAAACGACGTTATAAATCTGCGGGCAAATGTCAGCGTGCAGATTCTCATGCTTCGCCGCGGGCCGCGAGGACGCGTCGGCGAGCTGAGTCGTGAGGTCGCTTTATTAAATTGATCGCGAGTGGATTAAGGGCCTTGAACCGACGATCGCCCTTCCCGTCCGTTGTTTCTCCGCCTCTGGACTGGACCGTCGGCGATTGGAGCGACCAGAAGTAACGGAAACGCAACGAGGAAGGAGAGACAGAGAGGGGGATATTTTGGTACACGGAGAAAAAGAATATTCTTTTCTTGAGAAAGTCTGTATTCTCAACATATGCATGTTGAAATAAGATTGTATAGCGTTAGATAGGTAAGACTCGCTTACACGAAGGAATTCCATGTGGTTCCGCTGAAAATGTAATATTCTCGTTACTCGAGAATAATTTTCTTGAATTGAGAGAAAGAAGAAAGGAGAGGAAGGAACGATATCTTCGAAACAAGAATTACGATTTTGTTTAACTTGAAATTATATTACCTACATTTGAACATATTTTATTCTTGGAGGGGAAGCAGTTTGTAATATTAAATTGAATTAATGGAAGTTTTTAATTCAAGAGCACTGAATTTCTGTATGAAGATAATATATTCTTGCTTATACATGAAACAACGATTACGCCCATCAGAATACATAAGTCCTGAATTGATATTTATCTTTTCCCCGTGTGGACACGTGTGCATTGTGATGAGCAAAAAATAAATGTCCCGAAATTCGTAGAGCGGAAAAATGTCTCGATGGACCGTGCAGTTCGAACAATCAAGCAATCGCCTGAGGCAAAATTTTCCCGAAATAACGGAACCATGCGACTGTCTTGAGAGATTGTCTCTCGGCATCAGGATTTCATTTTTATTATCACTTTTCGGGCGGTTGGAATTTTGAGATTTTGACTTTTCGGAACAACGCACGCCTCCACTTCTAATACTTCAAATATCGTGAATGACGCCAGTTAAGAAATCAGCGCCCGTAAGATAGTCACGCAGACAGAATCGGGCGCGCGATTGGGAAAGATTACGAATTAAAAATTGCAAATTGCATGCCGCACGTATTCCCGTTTCCGATTTGTGCTGCGGCAGAATTGCATATCGCGAGCGCGTGCGGTCGCGCAATTACACGGACCGAGAATATTCGACGGAGGATTCTAAACAATACTCGTCGTCATTCGTCTCTCGTCACACGGATAACAACTCGGTTAAATGCGAACGCGATGCATAATCGCGATTTGTAATTCCGATAGCTTTATTACATCGCACGCACATACGTTCACGCTTACATGTACGAAAAAGAGAAAGGGAAGCGACATTTGGTCGTTTTGTGTCCGAGCAATTTCACTATGCATCCGTTCCGCGCGTTTCGATAAGCGTAATCGCTAAAAATTAAATCAAATTAATTAGATTTATCAATTGACTTTGTTAATAAACTAAATTTAACAATAAACTAAGTTAGATCGAGGATTGCAGATTGGAGATTTATATTCGACGAGTCAACTAATTTAAATTATACATGTTCTGCATGTCGTTGCTTGTTACATATCTTTAGTCATTTTATATATATTCAGGCAAAACCAGCTGTACAGTTGTTACCGCATCTTCTGCTCGCTTTCAGCGTCTTTGATACTTTTAGTCTCTGTCAGTAAAGAAATATTATTGTTCTTATTAATTTCGATCTCGACCAGATTCTCGTCCTGATCGGTTAAGTTCTAATTTTCAATCCGCAATCCTCGATCACCCATATCCAGTTTGAGCTTAACACTCTTGCTACCACGGCCTCATGAGAGACGTTACGTATGTATATCAGACAATTCTTCCTCCTACAGTCACACAAACACACCAATTCTATAAATATAAGTTTAGTTCTTAAATATACATAGCAGAAAAAAAATTTTGTACTTGTGTCAAAATCAGTCCTTGTTCACATTTTCGTGTTAAATTTTCTTAACATTTCCGTGTGTTAATTTAACATATTATGTTTGTTATCTCAACATTTTGTGTATTAATTTCGTGTTACTTTCCAACGTATACACACCTTGTGTTAAACTAACACGAAGATTTGAGCGAACCGTCTGGGCACGTGAAATGTGTCGAATTTAACGCCAAATTTTCCACAAATTTTGCAAATAACATTAACATCCCATTTTAAGCGATCACATAAGAAACGAAAAACATGAGGAACGCTCCGTGACGGAGACGATTTTGCAGATGAACGGTGTTGACAGGTGCAACGATTGCTGGGTAATCAGCGTTCAGCCGATCGACCAGCACGAACGATCACTCTGTAATCATCCAAGCCAGGAAAAATTTAATTTTCACGCGTGAACCAACGCGACCCGCGACACCGACTGGCGTAGATACGCGTGTCGCAGGCGTTCGAGCGCGCGATTTCTCCGCGACTCGAGAAGAAACGAGAGATGCGCACAACATCAGAGCACACAACGCTATATTAATAATACTCCGTGCGATTTGTTTACAAGCTCCGGTTATTTTTAACCAACTGTACGCAACTCGAAACTGGCCAATACTCTTTCGAGCGTTCTCGAGCGCGACGCGGAGTGAACGTTAACAATACATAGAGTTTTCTCTCTCTCTCTCTCTCTTTCTCTCTCTCTCTCTCTCTCTCTCTATAACCGAGCGCGAAGAAACGATAAAAGAGATGTACGTGACAGGGGATGGCCGTGGAAAAAAGATACGGTGAAATCCGCCGATCGAAGCGTACGTAAAAAATCGCGGACATTCCTCGCTTGACTCGAATTTCAAGCCGAAATTAGTCGTGGGCCCTCTCTCTCTCTCTTTCTCGCGCGCTTGCTCGCTCTCTCTTCCGAGAGCGCGCATTTTAATTAACATGTTCATTGCCAATCACGCGATATCGCGTGATGCGAGTTCTCACCAAACGGCCGATCACGCGTTATTGCGTAATAGATATTTAGAGTACATAAATCCTATGTACATAATAATAAAAGCATATAAATAATATATTAACTTATTTTGAGCACAATAAAAACTAAATAAAAAAATAAAAAAAATTTGGCCACCACACGAAATTCCAATTTTCAGCTTGGCAATGAACGTGTTAAATTTAGACGCGTAGAATTTGAAAGCTGGTACAAAAGAAAACAAGAGAGAGAGAGAGAGAGAGAGAGAGAAAGAGAGAGACGCGATCGCGCCGGAGAGATCTTGAAATGTACCTGGCAATTATCCACCGCGCTCTCGGCCGGTGAACAGATCGTTCAGAATGTCGAGGATGTTATGTTCCTCTCTCTCTAAAGTCTCAGAGACGATCCTCGCACTGTCCCTCGAGCATATCGACGTCCGGGCGTCGGCGTAGACGGGCTTGTCTTCAAATCATCATTCCGGAGGAGGAGTCGCTCCGTGATCGCGGAGTTTACTTTCGCGGTGATCGCAACGCGTTTTAGCCGCCGACGCGGATCATAAATTAAGGAGACCGCGGCAGCGAGGGGGAGAGCTGAGGAGACGCCACGACGACGACGGTGACAATTGCAGGTCGCACCGATGCGTAAAAAGCCGTTCGCCACGCGCCAGGAAGCGCTCGTGGAGTGGCGAAAGTCCACGACGAAGAATCAAAATTGACCCGGAGTTTTCTCGACGCCGATTGTGGTCGTCGAGGAAAAGCGACGGTCTCGACGGCGATTTCGTGGGGAAGGATTTTTTTCCTCGTTTGCTGACTCCTGGATTTTTCACCGAGCGATTCTCCTCGTTCGCTGATCGCGCGATCACGCACGCGCGATCACCTCGTGCGCGCGTACACGTGCTCTTTCTCTCTCTCTCTCTCTCTCTCGGTCTCGACGGGAGACTCTCCTCGCGTGCTCACGACGACGACGACGACGACGACAGATCGAGAAGTGCCACCGCCGCGGCTTTTTTCACACTCGACACTGAGACGATTTTCGTCCGCGCCTTCGCATTTATAGCGGCGCGGCCGCAAAGCCAGGCGGATCTCCCGCGAAACGGACGACGCGCCTCCCTCGCGCGAGCCGCCCTTCCAGGGTCGCCCCGAGGCCTCCGGGGCTACTTCCTCCATCAGCCGCGAAGAAGGAATCGGAAGATGAGTTTCCTCGGACTCGGCTTTCGAATCGCAACTCCCAATTGATCCTCGGTAGATCGATAATTGCATCTCCCGTCGTGATTTAGCGCACGGATCCGTGAGACTCGCGTCCGGTGCACTAATTGTTAGCGATATTAAGAGGTCCTACCGGGAAGCTTATTATTTACTGAAGAATAATAGTCCCCGATAAATTTGCTTAACTATCAAAGTTCTAAATACTAACTTTCAGCGTAACTGAGATAAATATACACACAATATTAGACAAACGCGGAAATATTGTTTACTTTTATATTTCTTATCGATGCTTTATTTGTGCGTCAATTAAGCTGATAGAGGCGTGCATATAATGAGAAAGTGGCATATAAATATTTAAATATGTCTATATATATATACATAAATCGCAGGTATTAACTATAAGTTGTAAGTTTCCTGTGTCTATGTATTTTCGAGACAAAGTGGCCAATAATTCTGAAATTTGTGTATAATGTCTCTATTGATCCTTAATTAAGTAGTTTTTCATATTTTGAAAATTCGAAATGTGGTTTAGAAGAAATTAAAAACATAAGTTAAAGATATTAATTTCAAGGGATGCGTATAAAAAAATGTCATTTTGAGTTGCGAATATCTCAATTTCGAAATGGTCGATCGTTTTCTAACTTCACGGGCGTATAGATGATATTTCCGTCAATATGTACGTAAAATTGAAAAAAAAATAGTTCGACAAGTACCTTAAGCCTCGTTGTGCGATTACTACGTGAGGTATCTGCACGATGTTGCATTGCGTGTTTTGATATCAAATTAGAAAATACACAGAGTGAGGAAGTAATATGCGTTACTCGCAATGTCGTTATGCAAGTTACTTTTCGTCAATACATACTTAATAAAATGGTAATGCATAAATAACAGTTACTTTTATCACCATCTTGCGCATTCAGGTCCAGTTTCACATCCTCCGATCAACTCAGTCGGCCGATTGTTCCGTTGGAATTAACCAATCGCATTTGTCGTTGAGCAGAATCGGCCGGAAATGACCAATTACGGTTGACACTTAATCGGTCGATCGAGTTAATCCGAGATTACGAAACTGGCACTCGGAATACGAAAAGAAACGACCCCGAACTTGAAAGTAACAGAAATTGCAGCGGCTCGTTATTTTCTGTATAACGTAACGTCTCTTAAATGTCTCTTAGGGACAGCTCGAATATTCCGCGCGCAATTCACGCGACGGGAGAATTTCCTGTGAATCGCGCGCGCGATATTTGCAGCGGAATTTATGAGTCGTGCGCATACATCGAGAGGTAAACTAATTTCGTGTCGCAACACAGCGGAAGCATCTAAACTTTAGTTCTGAATTCAGCGAGATTGAGATCGTCGCCTCACACACATACACATGCACACGCGCGTGCACGCACACATATACTCCGGATATTTATATCACAAAATAACAATTCTGCGTCTTACGGAAGCGCTGGACATGGATCATAAATTGAATTAAATTCGACTACTTCGCGAGCTCTTATCTCTTTGTAGAATACAGGATAAGAACAATGAGCGTCGCGAGTAGAAGCGTCATCAGGAGATGCACCCGTGGGTGACTCAGTGCAGTGAGAGTGTGTGTAACGCCAGGCAGCCGGCGGGCCTGAAAAATCACTTAAACAGGAGACAAAATGTGCAGTTTCATCCCGCAGTTTGTGGTTTCGCGAGATTGCGATCTGCGGGAGGAGACCCGCCGATGAGATTCATCTCGCCGCACGCGGAAATCTGAAAATTGGGTTTTCCTAAGCTTACGAGCGCTTCTTTCTGCACCGTCACGGCAGTATATCCTATTGTGTCAGATGAGTCGATAAGCCGATTCTGATTTCACTTCGGTAATAAACAAAGCCTGCTGCGTGCACGCGTGTCGTTAGCGCATCGTTCCGAGAAGTAAACGAGCTCTGAGTGAGTGACAAGCAAGCAGGCAAGCACGACGTTGGTTCTCGCGGTTTCCGCGTATACCCAGGAAGAACAGAAAATCGCGATAACATCGAAGTGTCATGTAAACGATCGAGCGACAAGAAAATGATTGAATCGTGCTCGGAATTTTTCAAGTGTTAGAAAAAATCATTTTTCCAAACTCGACTTTTCCGCGAACTTTCTCCGCTCCTTACTTTCCGAAGTTTTGAAACTTTATATCGAGAAGTGAGTTCTCATAGTGATTTCCTTGTCTTTTTATTATAATCATTATTTTATTGGTGATTCTATATATGGTTATCCTATCGGTATTTATTGTTAGTTATCTTATTATTTTTCATTCCGTTTCACTTGAAATCGTTGTTGACGGGAAAACTCTTTTTCAGTGCAAATTAATATAAAATGTCCAAAAAATCAAACATTAGAAGAACGAGAAATGTTTACGCAGAAAAAAGGAAAGAATTAAGAAGACAAAATTCACAAACAATACATGTAAAAACGCAACCAAAAACATCCAAAGATTTTTTATAATATCTAATTTAAAAGATTTTAAAGGCATAAAATAAATATCTATTAATGAGAAATATCAAAGATAACTTATTTATTGATTTAAATTTACTTGTAAATAATATTTTGAGATCATCGTGATTTTCTGTTCTACCCGGGTAAAGAAATTTGCTGATTCACCTGTACGGGAAAAAAAGTTTGCTTGAATTTCACCAGACAGCGAACACGAATCAAACGCGTTTCGGTTGAGGGACAGAATGTCCGTTTCTTTAAACTTAAATTCGTATAACCAGAAATTCAGTTTCCTTCAACCAAAACGTGTTTGCGATTCGTTCACTGTCTTGTAAATTCAAACTTTTTTCTCCGTACAGGAACCGATCGGTCAGGTCGAGATCGATGCGAATCCGTCGCTCTCGGATTTCGGGTAAAAGGCCGCGAGGAAGAAATGAATGCGTTACACCCTCGACACTCGGCGAACGATTCTCGCGGGAGGACTTTGGAGGAGAAGGAAACGAGAAGAAGCGTGATCGTGTGGTCTCGCCGCACGATCGCGTTCGTCGCCTCGTGAAAAATCGCGAAAAACCACGGGCACGTTGGCGCGCGTTTTACCGGTAAAAGGTGCCATTAGATTATCCATTCACGACAAGAGGCACGGCCTCCGGAGTGATTGTAAGTCCGCGTGCGCTTTTGCGGTAAAAAGTGCGCGACGGTTAATAACAATGCGCGAGTAACTCGTACGTGCACAGCAGAGATGCAGATATCTCGCGCTTCTACATCCCCGCATCCCTGACCCGCGAAAGGCGAAAGAGAGGCGCAAGAGGAAGAGCGAGGCGAAGAACGAAGAGAGGTCTGCCGGTTCGCGAGGCGACGCGACTTTATCCCTGGCCGGCGTTCATCGGTGGCCTATTTTTTAAAATTCTTTTTTAGATAGATTTCTTATCTGCCGATAAGCGAGACCGACAGACGGACGGACGGATACATGTCACCGTGTATTTCCTCCATTCCTCGGAATATTTTTCCCGCTACGCGTCTCGGCCGTCACTCTAGCGGTGTGCGCGGGTGACGCGGAGACACACAATCGGTAATAATAATAATACGAACGCGCCGATGCATTTTATAACGGTGATATCAGCGTGAGTAATCGTCGGCGAAATGTGTAACGAGACTCACGTCGCAGGAACAAAGCGGAGAAAAGGGAAAGGGGCGGAAGAGCAGCGCCGCGTCAGCGGCTCGATGAACGAACGAAGGGGGAGGGAGAAAGGGGGGGGAAAACGCCGGGTTCTCGCGCTGTGAATAATAAGAAAAGTGAATAAAGAGTAAAGAATAAAGAACGTCTTCTCGGGTAGTCCGTGGGAATGAATAAACATGCGAAGGCAACGCCCGATTGCCAAAGCGAAGCGTGTTAGGTGGCGCAGAGGATTCGTCATTTTTCTTAAATTAACGCGTTGCTTTCCATTGATCGTACAAACGTATCTAACTGACGATTGCGCCAATCTGAAGGTACAATGAATAAATATAATTCAGAGTACATGTATCCCTCACCTCGTTTCATCGGCTCTTTATCGGCCGCACGGATCATTTTTCAGACGCAACTAATTATATCCCCGTACGCAACTTAACAAGTAATATTACGCGTTCTCGGGGAAATGTTTCGCCGTGATCCAGCTGGAATTCTAAATGCCACAGATAAAATGTATATCACTGCTTTCTGTATCCGCTGGAAAATTGTCTGCGTAATTTACAGCAGCAGTGTTCCGGCAATACGTGCAGGAAATTTGAAATATTTTCTTGAATTAAATTCTCGTGGGAATTTTTAATTTTCCTGCTCGTAGGAATTTAGATATTAAAAAGACAATAGAAAGTCCTCGTTAGGCGTCTAAAAAAAAAATAACTCGACGTTGTTTTTATTTTACCCGTCAGAATTATTAATCCTTCGAGGTCCTTGGATAATGCCGTTTCCTACTCTATTTACTAACGCGGGAAAAAAATCCTCTGCACCGATCCAGCAATTTAATTGGTTCGGTTTTTTATTTTTAATTTAATTCGATTAATATCGCGATGAGTTGAACCGGCGGAGCATCGCCATAACGCGCCGCCCTTATCCGCAATGTGTACCGCGTGAGGACGACGAGTCGTCCCCGGCAATGGATGACATGGAGGTCCTTTTTTCTTCCCAACGTTATTTCCTCTCATTATTCCTACGCGATCGCGGTGAGGTAGGCCAGGTAGGTTGCCGGCAATTACGATATCGGCACGGTGTGTCGGCACGGGTTTCAAGCGCCGCGTTTTATATCCATTCGCGACGGGAGACCTGGCCTACTTAGATATTGCAAAGTCTTACGCGCGCGATAAAAAAATCTACGGTA